TTACAAGCTCATCCTAGGATTCGGGGTTCTTTTCTGATTCATGATGTTGGGTCATCTTTATCGAAATAGCAGTTTTTCTGGGTTTTTCGCTTGGGCCTAGGCCATTTGGGATTGGATCCTTTACAGTTTGGCATACATTCCTCTAGGATTGGGGCTGCAATGGAAGCGGCACGGCTGGGCCTAGGGGATGAATTAGTAAAAAGGATTAAATGTTGGGAGTCTGTCAGGTTCCGGTCATACGTTTGATATAAATAATAATAAATAAATAAAATTCTACAATTTAGTTGTTCCTTGTTGGTACCAGAAAGGTTAACGAGCAGCACACTTCCCTGCTGGGTGGCCTGCCATTCGATAGTTCATTCGTCTCTTGATGCATGCAAGCAGGAAACATACAAATACCTGGGAACTGACGAACAAACAGATGAAAGAGGTTTTGAAATAATAATCCAGAGGCAGAGAGATCTGCCACAAAGGGTATTTGTCGACAAACACCGCTGAGCGTTCGACTGTCCAAGATGGCCACCACCACGTGTTCGTTCATACGAACGGCGACCACCCAGCCGACCGGTCAGGAGTTGGAAGTGTCTGTGGTTAACCACACTGAGGAAGCTCATAGAGTGAAATGCGTTTAGCTGATTATTTTGGACTTTTAATTGGACTTCAACTTGATTTTTTATTTTCTAGTATGTATTTATTTTGTTTTTATTGTTAATAAATATATACATTACTATTATTTTATACTTTAGTCCAAAGTCCTTTCTAGCTGTCAGGAACTCCATTGGGGAGAGTGCTATTCCCCCCCAAAAATAGCACATTGCTTTCTAACCTCAGAGCCGGGATTTCAGGGCTCTGGAAAAGGTGAGCACTACTATTTATACCTTATTTATACTAATATAGTATGTGCTTTTCTACACAGTTGCTTCTCTGTTTTCTCTCTCGTTGTATACTCGTGGAGTGATACTGCCTGGGACAAAGGGGTGTTTGCTGCCCAAAGAGCATAAAGGACCTTTTTTACGGAGCCAATACTATATAGGCTCCTGTCCATGTGAGTGGTTTAAGTAATTTATTACCATCAACTGTCTATTTGGATAAACCGCCTGCACTATATTTTTTTGTTTTTCTTGTTCCCCCTTTTATGTCTATGTAAGTTTCTCAAGATTGTCACTGCACTAAAAAGGGGGTGAGTAAACCCTTTCATTGTTTAGAGCGCTCCACTTGTCTGGTATAATCACTTATACCTTATTTTTGTATTTGTTTTTTATTGTGGGTAAGGGGTATTCCACTTTTAGTGTTGAGCAGCTTTTTTCTTTTAGGCACTGTTAAGTAACACTTTCTATCTCTTTGAGATAGCTCGTTTGTTTTACATTAATAAGGGCAGAAAGGTTAACGAGCAGCACACTTCCCTGCTGGGTGGCCTGCCATTCGATAGTTTATTCGTCTCTTGACGCATGCAAGCAGGAAACATACAAATACCTGGGAACTGATGAACAAACAGATGAAAGAGGTTTTGAAATAATAATCCAGAGGCAGGGAGATCTGCCACAAAGGGTAATCCTCAAAATCCATCAAAGGACTGGAAAAATAGAAAACAACAAGTACAGGGCGCACCAAGAACAAAGTGAATAAATAAAATAAATAATAGACAAAAATACCAGGGAAACAGGCAAATTAAAGTCTCTAATTCACAGGTATATTCTTCAGAAATTCTCAAGACGTCTTGGGTCAAATCCTCATCAGCATATATGAAAGAAAAAAACACACAATGGTGCAGTAACGTAAAGGAGTATGGCCACAGACAACACTGAGGTTAAGAAATGCCAACTCACATTTATGGGAGCTATAACCAGCTCGAGTTAAAACAGCATACAGTGGTATTTAAACTCCCCACATGTAGGATACTCCTCTGATGATATTTTCAGTGTAGGTCATATGAAATAAAAATACAAGAGAAGGTCCATAGTGCTCTCTATATTAAAAAAGTGGTGAATAAAATAGGAAATGTACTTACAATTTACAGAGCAGACAAGCTCTGTGTAATGCGCCTGGGTGGAATAATCCCCACCATGGATTCTTTGGATGGTATAAAAGCTTCAGATGTTAGGATATGAGAGGTAAAAAAATAAGGCTAAATATAAAAGTATTTAAAATTAATGAGATTAACCAAAATATTAGGTAGTAAAAAAAAAATACTTTTATTTCAATTAAAACATAACGCGTTTCGCTACAAGGTACACTTGATCTACACTTGAAGAAGCCCCTTGTGGCAAAATGTGTTGTGTTTTAATCTAAATAAAAGTATTTTTTTCTGACTACTCCAACCAACTTACATTATTGCCTTTACTAATTCGTTTTTTGTCCTAACCACGAGTGTAAGGTGGTAGCCTGGAGTTGTGGAAGGGGCTATCTGGCTTTAAAAAGCCGAGCCCACTTCTCTTCTTGCTGCCTGTGTCCTAATCTTGCCCCAGCTTCTTCTCCCTCTTATCATAATTATATATAGGTGAGCCCACTTTATTTACGGGCTTACCTGAACATATTTTTCAGCACATCCCAAGGGACTTACGCAGGGCCGGATTAACATAGGGACCAAGGGCACTGGGAGACATGGGGACACTGAGAGACATGGGGACACTGGGAGACTATACAGCAGAATCAAACCAAGTAGTTTTTTCTTGGTGATTTTACAGCATTTTCTCTTATGTCACTCCTTGTGATTTACATCATGTAATGTCACCCATACATAATTAATTATGTGAATTAGTAAGGCCGGTATGTTTTTTCAAGAAAGGTGGCAACCCTAACTACTTTTCACATACTCTTGCTTACGTATGGAAACTTAAGGGGGATGTATGGGAACAAAAGTTGTGTGGACTGGCTGACAATGAAATTAGTTAAGGTAATGCTGACTTTGGTCTCTCTCACTGTGGTATGTTCCCTTTCTTCTACACTCACTACATACACCTTTTCTCTGTCCCAGACTATATACCAGGAGCTTCTGCCTGCTAGCAGGAAGGTAAGGAGACAAGTGGACCAGCGAGTGCTAGGAGACAGTCCTTAGAAAGCATTGAGCAAGCACATCATTAGACACATTTATGCCAAGCTCAATGTGCTGTCTAAAAGACAAGGTTGGGTAAAGTGCAGTGTTAACGTACACGCGTGCGTCATTACGTATGACGTTGCGCGTGACGTACGCATGCGCGATCACCAGGGGACCGGCGGACCGGCGGATTTAAGAAGGGGAAAGAAGAGGAAGTGGATTATGAAGCTCCTGACGAAGTCTGAAGGACGAAATGCGTTGAGCCACAGTGGGACCCTCCAGTTTTGGTATTTGCAGTTTCTGCTCTACATTTTTGCTGCTTATGAGATTGTTTGTGGACATTACTGGTGTATATCATTCTTAGAGTGATGAGAGTTGCACTTTCTCACTTTATTGCACAGTCTGCACTTTAGCATTTGCATCTTTTTATGTTATTTAGAGCTGCTATACCTATGGGTCCTTTTGCCTATTAAGGCTTTTTATATATATTTAGTTCTATCATCTGCACATTGTTGGTGCATTTTATTTGTTATTTAGTTTCTTCAATAAACTGTATTATACATATCCCTTTTTTATCTTCGTTTATTCATCTGGTGAATTTGGCGCCCTGTACTTTCTTAGTTTTATATACAATGTGCTGTCTGCATGGTATGCCTTTTGTTGGCCAGCTTGCATGATTGGCAGGCAGCCTGACATGCATTCATGCCAGGCTGGCCTTCCAATTCTTTGGGCAGACATACCTTTTTGGGCATGTTTGCCCCTTTTGACAGGTTACGTTATTTGTGTCAGTGGCACACCCTTTTACCACGCCCATTGACTTTCTGATTGCCTGGACACGGCTGTTAGGGGTTATGGATTTACTTGAAAGATGAAAACATAAATTAGAGAGAGATTAGCATATGGTATGTGTTTTCTTATAGCTGCTGTTTTCTTTCCCTCCAGCACCATCTCCATCAGATACATGATGCTTGGGAGTGTTTTAGTGTTTTTGGTCGATAAGATTCTGTAATTAGGCCCATCATAATTGTCAGCACCAGGCCCACTGGGCTGTTAATCTGGCCCTGTGTATCCATAGTGCCTATCACCCACACCCAATAATAAAACGAGACACACCAAGAAAACCAAAATCACCCAAGTGATGTGAGAAAATAAATCTATTTATTAAGAACACCCAGTGTCATAGAACTGATCATACTTGGACAAAACATTTGATATATCATACAAATAATGTAACAGTATTACATACAAAAATGCATCATGATTACTTTACTACATAATCCTAATTCATTATACCATAAATTACATCAAGTGCATATCGTTACTAGTGATGTCACTAATCGTTACTATAAAAATACAAATCATTATAATGCAATGTAATGTAAGCAGCAAACTACTTGAAGCCTGCTCTTATTAATCAAACCATTATTTCAAAATAAATGTAAGTATTACATCAAGCAAACCTCACAGGCTTATAAAAAAATATATATTTCTGAACAAGATATGTATTTACACAGTAAACAGAATAGTTGCATAGATAAATGTACATTTATGGTCAGGGAAGAAAGCCGTATAATTGTGAACCTATACGTATAACCATTAGTAAAATAAACTAAGTTGGTTGTGGTGTGCCGAAACCGACGAACGGGTAGGCCTGTAAATAAAGAGGGCCCACCAATTAGTAGTTTTAATCTTTGTGGAGTGGTGGGTGGGGTAACCAAGCGCTGTCAGCAAGGTATGGAGGTTGAGAGTTTATATTGGCCGGTTGCAACCCATCCCACAACTACAGGCTCTGCCTTCCCATTTGTGGTCAGGGAAGAAAGCCGTATAATTGTGAACCTATACCTATAACCATTAGTAAAATAAACTAAGTTGGTTGTGGTGTGCCGAAACCAACGTACGGGTAGGCCTGTAAATAAAGAGGGCAAAAGAGAAATATGAGTTCCATACTTTAATACGTATACATATACATTAAGTCACCCGTGAATTCTTATTTCGCCAATTGTTTAAATGCCTGTCTTATCTCTTTCTCAGGTTGAGGTATGTAACGGTTGTATGCTGATGACTTCCATCTGCCTAATTTTTTGATGATATGCACCGGTATGTTTTGGCTGGAGGCTGATGTAGCAGCCCGATACGAAATGAGTGGCCAGTGAATGCTACGGTATCGTACCAGATTCTTGTGAACAATAATCTTACATATCTGGTGAACTTCGAGGTAGTTAGGGGTTGACCATGTATGATGAGCAAGGGAGTTTGGGTTGGTCAGTCAAGCCTGTCATGAATTTGTCGAACAGTATTACAGGGCACCAACGATTATCTGTAGGGTAATATTGAAAGTCGAGGTGCGGACCCATTTGATTTGTTTTGGAGTGTCGTAATGACAGTGTATAGTGATCACCTATTTTGCTTAGGTGTGAAATGCATAACATATTTGACTTGTCCTTGCTGTTACCTATGGTGAGTTCATTGGGTCACATGAACCCGTAAAAGGCCAGGTATATGGCTGTTTTGATCGTGTTATTCGTGTGGTTTGGTGTCTAACGTATTAGATAAGGCCCTGAATTTTTCAGCATCGATTGGTTGTTATTTAGTAGGCTTAGGGTTTTCCAGGTGTAGAATGCCTTTTAGAGTATTTTTTATGGGGTGTGCTGACATGAAATCTTTTTGACTGGGATATGTGTTGCCACGTGATGCTGTATCCCGCTTAAATATAGTTTTATGGTGTTGTGGGCAAGTTTCAGGTTGAGGTGGCAAAAAGAGGTGAATGCCACCATAGTTACATAGTTACATAGCTGAAAAGAGACTTGCGTCCATCAAGTTCAGACTTCCTCACATTTGTTTTTTGCTGTTGATCCAAAAGAAGGCAAAAAAAAACAGTTTGAAGCACAATTTTGCAACAAGCTAGGAAAAAAATTCCTTCTTGACCCCAGAATGGCAGTCAGATTTATCCTTGGATCAAGCAGTTATTACCCTACATTGAAAGATTATATCCTTGAATATTCTGTTTTTGCAAGTATGCATCTAGTAGCTGTTTGAACATCTGTATGGACTCTGATAAAACCACTTCTTCAGGGAGAGAATTCCACATTCTGATTGTTCTTACAGTAAAAAAACCTTTCCTTTGCCTTAGACGAAATCTTCTTTCTTCCAGTCTAAACGCATGGCCTCATGTCCTATGTAAAGTCTGGTTTGTGAATAGATTTCCACACAATGGTTGGTATTGGCACCGAATATATTTGTATAATGTTATCATATCCCCTCTCAGGCAACGTTTTTCTAAACTAAATAGGTTTACATTTGTTAACCTTTCTTCAAAGCTGATATGTTCCATTCCTTTTATTAATTTTGTAGCCCGCCTTTGCACTTTTTCTAATGCCATAATATCCTTCTTTAAAACAGGTGCCCAAAATTGCACAGCATATTCAATATGTGGTCTTACCAGTGATTTATAAAGAGGCAAAATGATATTCTCGGCCCTTTTTCATGCATGACAATACCTTACTGGCCTTGGCCACTGCTGATTGACATTGCACATTGTTGCATAGTTTGTTGTCTATAACAATTCCCAAGTCCTTTTCGTGTGTTGTTATCCCTAATTCGCTTCCATTAAGGGTATACGTTGCTTGTGTATTCTTTACGCCGAAGTGCATAACTTTGCATTTTTCAACATTAAATTTCATCTGCTATTTGAGTGCCCAGTCCCCCAGTCTATCTAAATCCCTCTGCAGCAAAGTAATATCTTGCTCACATTGTATTATTTTACAAAGTTTTGTGTCATCTGCAAACACTGAAACATGACTTTCAATGCTGTATTCAAGATCATTTATAAACATGTTAAATAGAAGGGGTCCCAGAACAGACCCCTGAGGGACACCACTTGCCACCTCTGTCCAGCTTGAAAATTTACCATTAATGACAACTCTTTGCACTCTGTTTTTAAGCCAATGTTCTACCCAAGAACAAGCATTTTCATCTAGACCGATTTCCTTGAGTTTGAACACTAATCTATTGTGTGGAACTGTATCAAATGCTTTGGCAAAATCCAAATAGATCACATCCACTGCAACACCCTGATCTATACTTCTACTTACAACACCCTGATCTATACTTCTACCATAGTATCTAAATTATATGGGTTTGTGATTTGATATTCTGAAATAAATTTGTTGAACAATTTTTGAGCTCGGTTGTATGAGGGTCTAGTGTTTGTGGATAGTGCGGCCTGTGCTAGTGCTCTCCCATGCTCCATTAGTGATTTCAGTCCAGGATGGGGTCCATGAACCGAGGTGTCTCGTTCAGTAGTTCCTCTGCTGTTGGGTGTAGCTGCCTGAACACCTGCAAATTTGAACGGGACAGTGTGTCAGCTGCAGAGTTGTGGTGACCTGGCACGTGTATGCATGTTATGAAGAAATTATGTGTGGCCGCCAACCATGTGAGTCTCCTGAACAGACTCATTATGGTTAATGAGGACGACCTGCCCTTGTTCAGAATTTCACAAGCCGCCATGTTGTCAGTTTAGCATTTGACTGCCTTCCCTGCCCATAAGTGGCCCCACACTTTCGCTGCTGCCACTATGGGGTAGATCTCAAATAGTGCCAAAGTTTTTGTAAATGCTGGTAACTCTAGTGCTTTGTTTGGCCATACGTCCCTAAACCATCTGTCTTCGAAAATCGCTGTGAAGCCTGCATGACCTGCTGCGTCCGTCTAAAATACTGGGGAGTTCTCAGATAACTGAGGTATAAACATATTCCTCCCGTTCCAGGCAGACAGAAAATGGTACCACATGGTCAATAGTGATGTTGCGAACCGTTCGCGAACTTCCCGCGAACGGCTCACCATGGCGAGCTCCGGTCAGCTGACACATCCCGGCCAATCTCCAGCAGACCCTCCCTCCCAGACCCTCCCACCTCCTGGACAGCATCCATGTTGAAGGCTTCAACATGGATGCTGTCCAGGAGGTGGGAGGGTCTGGGAGGGAGGGAGGGTCTGCTGGAGATTGGCCGGGATGTGTCAGCTGACCGGAGCTCGCCGCGAACGGTTCGTGGCGAACCGTGGCGAGCCGTTCGCGGGAAGTTCGCGAATGGTTCGCGACATCACTAATGGTCAAATCTGCCCTAGCCTGAATGTTGAGTGTTACTCTGCTGTCTTCGTTGGGTAAGCCTGGTAACAAACTAAGAAGTCGTGAGTTGAATGCTCTTCCTTGAGGTATGACTCTCATGGCAAAGTTCAAAGAACCAAAGAGTGATTGTAGGTTCTTCCGTGATGCCGTTCCTTCATTAAGGAATGACTTGACCTCTGCCCGTATTCTCTGAACTTTGTTAAAGCTGGCAAGCTAGCTTGCATGGTTGCTGAGTCCAGCTCGACTACGATCTTGTTCTCGGCCACTGGAGCCATTCATATCCCTGACAATTATTCCCATGCCTGAGTTGTATCGTATACCTGCAATAGAAAAATAATCCCCTTACAAATTTAAATATATATATATATATATACATATATATATATTTATTTTTTTTAATTATTTTTTTATTACCTGGTGAGAGAACTAAGCGTTTAGGTCTGTTTAATTCTTGAATAAGAGATTATGCAGTGCTGTAAAATTCACTGCCGATGCGTATGGGCTGATTTCGCCTTGGAGATGAAATTACCTACAAGGACATGATAACACATATGTAATATGCTTGTTTGGGCTATTGGTGTCTATTTTCTTTTTTTATGTTCTATACTGGGTCAGATTGCTTGTTGTGCCAACCCACCTAAGATAGCCTATGAATAACATACCGTATTTTACCGACAATCCCTTGTGCTGGGATGCTTGTTTGCTGTATTTGAGAGCAAAATCTAAATTCCTGCCAGGACATGATCATATTGTTTAACTTACTTCCTAACTATGTATTTGATGTTCTACATACCCGTAAGTGCCATTAACAGCATAATTTAAGTAAGACCTTGTTATATTACAACATGCTGAACATTTATGTTATATGTGCCTCTTTAAGGTTTTAAAGGCCATATGATCTAGCTAACATATGAATGATATATTGTGACCGTGTGGCTTAACAACCGAATGCACTGAGTGAATGGGACAGAGGAATGGATACCCCTGGTTAAGCTAATATATCTAATGAACAGTATCTAACGAAAGGTTTTAAACAAAATGACTTTAACACGAAATGACTATTTAAACGTAAAGACTTTTAAACAAAATGATTTCCAACAAAAGACTTTTAAACAAAATGCCTTTAACCGAAAAGATTTATAAACTAAATGACTTTTAATCCATGACTTTTTAACCGACATGACTTTTAACAACCTGTCTTTTAAACGAAAGCCTCTTGACAAAATGACTTTAGATGAAATTATTTTTACACGAAAAGACTTTTAAACAAAATGACTCATTAAACGATATGGAAAACGAATACGTCTGCACGAAAGGGGTTACATGACTAGCTTTACATGAATAGTTTATATGAATGCTGTAACGAAATGATATACACAAAATAGTTCCTACGACTAGATTTAAACGAAATGATAGGTCTGAACCATGTGAAATAACTGCCAGATTTAAACGAACGCCATTCGAAAGAATTAACTAAATGCAAAACAAACTAACTGAGTTAGCCAAACAGCATAATAAAGCTAAACGGTTGGGAGCCAATCCCCGCATTTATGAGGTCCGAATGTGGGAATGCCGTAAACGGGTTCCAATGTGTACATACGTGATTGTGCGGCTGGAAGCTGGTACGAAGAACGGGAACCGGTTAGGATGTTCTGCAAGTGGATGGAGCCCCAAATGATGCTGCAAGCCGAGTTAGGTGGGCTGTAAGCCAGGTCAGAGGCTGAAGACAAGTCCGTGGCTGCTTCTGGAGCAAAAGAGGGCAGGAAAACCGGAAGTGCTGATTGTCATGGCAACCGTCACTCAAACAGTAATCAAGTGCTGTCAGCAAGGTATGGAGGTAAGTTGAGAGTTTATATAGGCCGGTTGCAACCCATCCCACAACTACGGGCTCTGCCTTCCCATATGCCCATAAAGGACTATTAATGGCATTAGGCTCTATTAGTCATGGGTACCGTCACTTTTTATTTTCAATATGCCCTATTTGTAAAACATTACTAACCACCCATATATCTCCAGAGTATATATAGCTATGTCAACAATAGTAAGACATAAACTCGACTCATATATACACAATATATTACTGTGAAAGAACCATGAACCAGCTTTTCATTCATAACACATAAATTCCTGTATAATGGTAGAACAAGACTCGAACAAGACATTCCACCCAATGTCACAAGTCCCTCCGGGGGCGGGGCCTGGCCAGCATGGAAGACGGACATGCAGCAGCAGAGCTCCCCAGACATCAAGGCAAAAACAAGCTGTTTCTGACCCGAAACAGCCCTACCTGATCCACGAAAGGGCACAAAAACGACAATGGGGTCTGAGACTCGTCTTGGGCCGGCTGGCCAACCGGCCTGTGGCGTGAGGCCTGGGGCCCGTCGAGCGGGAGAGGCGGCCGACCTCCCTGTCCAGTACCACGGAATGCCGACACGATGCCGGCAGGAGCCCCGTTACTCCCCCCCAGGACAGTCGGGGGTGATCACGGTCCACACCAGGGAGGCAAACCTGGAACAGGGAGAGCGCAGTGCGGAACAGCACAGCCAAGCATGCTACACGATGCGGCACACAATATGGTGGATGCCATGTGTCAATCCGGGCCTACAGACCAACAACAAGGGGTCCTACAGAGACTGAACGCAATCTTCGCCAACTTCTGGTGCAAACTGGAGGCCAAAACACGACCACCCGTGGCCACACAGTTCAGCAGCCTCCCAACCAGGAAACTGCTCCCAGCCAGAAAGAAAACTCAGCAAGCTATGATTGCAGGACAGACCTCACCAACATGGCAGGCAAAACTACAACAATGACCCCAGCGCAAGAGGGCAAATAGAGACATGAGACACCACAGCAGACGCAGGGCACAACGGAGAGTCAAGATACGCCAAGCCCTCTTACCCTGCTCGACAACGCTGTTGTACAGAGTGCTACGGAACTCAGCCCCAAGGCGGACATGAGCCTGACAAACAAACAGGTCACCCCAGCTGAGGCTCGGGCACAGAAGCCCACACTGCCCGCTGTGATGCAGAAATACCCGAGAGAGCTCACGAGGAATGCACCTGGCACCCAGAGGGGATCAGATAGGCACGGGCAGAGGAATGGGGCCTCTTTACATAAGAACTGCTCCCTGCATGCTTAATAATCGTAATGTACTAATCCTTGCACTGCCACCGTGTCACCCCTTGCAGAGCTTTTACCGTTATTGCCTTCATGTGTTTCCTTAAATTGTATTGTGTAGCTAGCTAGCACTACCCAACTAACACTGATTTAGAAATATATACCCTAGCATGATGTACTAGGAATAGTGACACTGGCAGATGCCGACAAACCAACTCACCTACCTGACCATCCCAGTTAGCAATTCACAAGTCTAATGTATATCGCATGTAAACTTACAGCATAGTTTTGCTAGCTGCCGTATATGACACACAAGTATATGACACACAACGTTAATAACCAATGCTATGATGTCCACAATTGCAATGTTTTCCCACTGTGTCTCTCCTCTGACTTCTCCTACCTGTCAAGCTCATTTTGATTCTTAACTAAAGCAAGAATTCAAACAATTATAATCCTGGCATATGTATAATTTTTTGTACTCAGGAATGTAATGCCATATAATCAACATAATCTTAACGTAATAAAATCAGCCATAAGTCTGTCTAGTTTAGCATGTTTAAAACAATCTACACATGTGCAAAAGTCAGATACTTTCTTGTTTAAAAAAAATAAAATAAAAATGTGCTGTTTAATCTGCCACACTATAAAATGCTATGAAAAAGCCTGCAGTTCTGTTGTGGCTCTGCAAGCCTGTTGTTACTGCATGCACAGAAAAAATAAAGAATTTAAAAGTCACAAGTTCCTCCAAAGTCATCAACTCCATTGTCCAAGCGATCACTGTAGCACAAACCTATAGAAAGTAACATAATAAAATCAAATAAAGATACAGACCATACGCAGGCAGAGTTTGATATGATACCATAATTACAAAAAAGGAGACAGATCCTTCTCTTCATTAAGACCCCTAGGATATAACGTTTTGTAATTTGTATGTCCAATACAATTCACACTGTTTTAACATTGTGACCCTTGAAACACCACTCCTGGTGGGCTTGACTATCTGCAAAATCATGTATCGTAATTGGGAAACTGCATGTTTTTTCTCAGCAAAATGCTGAGCCACCGGATGCGGACTCTAGAATAAAGCCTAGGAAAGTCAACCTGGTATTAGGACCCACATTTTTTTAATGAGATATGGGAATGCCCAAATTTTTTAACCAGGCCTTGGTAGTCTCAAGGCTACTGTATAATGTTTCTCGGTCATCAATAAGTCATCAAGGCAGTGTATAACAACAAGGCACATGCATGTGTTCAATAGTAATAGAGGGTTTCACAAACACATCGAAAAGCTTGGGACTGCTTTTAGTTCCAAATGTAAGTCTAGCAGTAAAATAATAGTTGTTATTCCACTTTACACTGGCCAAATTAGGAGGGACGTATCGGGAGTAACTTAAAAGTGTTATTAAAGTCAGTCTTTCCAAGCCAGATTAATGACCCTGTGTTTAGAATTGCTGGAATGGCATGGTCTACAGTAGTGTATTGCAAAGAAAATTCTTGTGATTGGATTAAGGAATTTAATCTACGTAGTGGTACTCAGGAAGAAGGAGGTGCTGACACATTAATGATCATGGTTTTCTTATTTGATTTGCCAGTAACTACACCAATCGGGTTGGTATACCAGCAAGAGTAAGGAGAGGAGACAAAGGGGCCTATCATGAACCAATTATTGACTTCTTTAGCAATCAATGTGTCGACCAGTGCAAGGTGCTTGACAGCAGACTGTAGGTTTGAACATTCAAGTAAGCCTGTGGGTAACAAAATTAGCCCGATGTGAAAACGTTGTGAAAAACCTGTTACCAGAAATACAATTAAAGGACCACTATAGGCACCCAGACCACTTCAGCTTAATGAAGTGGTCTGGGTCCCAGGTCCATCTAGGTTTAACCCTTTTTTCTATAAACATAGCAGTTTCTAAACTCAGCCCCAATTTCTAAATAGGTTAATCAATGAGACAGCCACTAGAGGGCTTTCGCGCTTCTCACTGTGATTTTCACCATCCATAGGAAAGCATTGTGAGGAGGAGAGTCCCCGGCGCTGGAGAAAGAGGTCCTCTCCATCCAGCCCAGCGGGAGGGGGACCCTGAGGGTGGGGGCACCCTGAGGGTGGGGGCACCCTCAGAGCACTATAGTGCCAGGAAACCGAGTATGTTTTCCTGGCACTATAGTGGTCCTTTAACTGAGGCGCTAGGTGATCATCTAGGATCTGTGCAAGCTTGTTTATTTACCAAAGTTAGTCATTGTTTGGGATGTAACCAGTCTGGGCACATATTTCTCCAATGGGCTCTAAAACAAAGAGAGCACGCATGCAACAATCTGCAGGCACTAAAGCCGCAACTACCAGCTCTAAGATGATTACAGATTTGGGCTCTGCCTACAGAAACAATAGGCCAACCTAGATAGGCCCCTTTGTGTCCTCTACTTGGACCTTGGCTCATTCTCTTCCGGCATAACTACAGTAAGGAGGCAAGGGATAACAGACTGGTAGCAGGGAGTCTGGCCTCATTGGGGAACAAGTTAGTGGGCTGGGTAGAGGATGCGCAAACTGCACTTGAGTTTTATTTTTATTATCTTTATTTTTGCAATGATGTAATGTACGACATAAAAAATGTTACAGTGGGTCTGCGCAGAGACCCCTTTATAGTGCATATAAGCATGACATGTTTTTACAGAAGGAAAGGTATGGTTAGGTTAAATGTTCATCATGTCGAGCACAATCGTGTAGCCATGGTACAGTAAGTCAAAATTTTTCAGTGGTAAGTTTTAACAGTAGGCCTGTGCAAAGGCCCATCTATAGTGTACATAAGCATGACTTGTTATTACAGAAAGGAAGTGTTGGTTAGGTCATATGTACATGTCTGGCATGTCGGCTTAACAGTGGCACAAGACGTCAATGTATTTAGTTTTATACAGTTGCAAGAAAAAGTATGTGAACCCTTTGGAATGATATGGATTTCTGCACAAATTGATCATAAAATGTGATCTGATCATAATCTAAGTCACAACAATAGACAATCACAGTCTGCTTAAACTAATAACACACAAAGAACGAAATGTTGCCATGTTTTTATTGAACACACCATGTAAACATTCACAGTGCAGATGGAAAAGGTATGTGAACCCCTAGACTAATGACATCTCCAAGAGCTAATTGGAGTGAGATGTCAGCCAACTGGAGTCCAATCAAAGAGATGAGATTGGAGGTGTTGGTTACAGCTGCCCTATAAAAAACACACACCAGTTCTGGGTTTGCTTTTCACAAGAAGCATTGCCTGATGGGAATGATGCCTTGCACAAAAGAGCTCTCAGAAGACCTACGATTAAGAATTGTTGACTTGCATAAAGCTGGAAAGGGTTATAAAAGTATCTCCAAAAGCCTTGCTGTTCATCAGTCCACGGTAAGACAAATTGTCTATAAATGGAGAAAGTTCAGCACTCCCTAGGAGTGGCCGTCCTGTAAAGATGACAAGAGCACAGCGCAGACTGCTCAATGAGGAGAAGAAGAATCCTATAGTGTCAGCTAAAGACTTACAAAAGTCACTGGCAAATAGGGCTGGACTGGGAAACAAATTCGGCCCGGGCATTTTTTAATCACAGCGGCCCACTGAAAAGGGAGCGGGCCAGTTAGGGTTTGTTTTGTCATCAACAATGACAAGCATGCCCCATCTCAAAGTGAGCATGTTGGTTCAATGCTCGTCCAGGGCAGGCCATGCGCAGAGCTCTGCTGAAGAGCTCTAGCATAAGAAAAAGGCCCTGTATTTGTTCTGCACAGCGCAAGCAAGTTTAATAACATGCTTTCGCTGTGTTTTCTTAAAACTTGTCTCTGGTGTCTCCATAAATGGGATACCAGGAGACAAAAATGCCAGGAAAGAGTATTGTGCATGTGTTTGGAGCCTGCTTATGGGATTGCGTGTGTAGAGTGAGCTGATTGTTGTGTGGTATTGTGTTAATAGGTTGGTTTCAGTCATGTTGTGTTTGTGGTGTAATGTAATGTAATGTAATGTGTGTGTGTCTAGGTGCTGTAGAGAATGTTTGTATAGGGGGCATAGTGTGTATAGGGGATGTAGCGAGTGTGTGCATAGAGGCTGTAGTGTGTGTGTATAGGTGATGTAGTGTGTGTAAGGGTTGTAGAGAGGGTGTGTTTAGGGAATGTAGTATGTGTTTGCTTACAAGGAATCAAGTGTTTGCATAGAGGATCCAGAGTGTGTACGTCAGAAATGTAGTGTGTGTGGGTGGTGCATTGTGTGTGTGTGTGTGTGTGTGTGTAGGGGATCCAGGGTGTGTTTGAAGAACCCAGAGTGTGTATAGTAGATCTAGTGAGTGTGTGTATTTTGTGGGGGGGTGGTGCAGTGTGTTGGGGGGCTGCTGTGTGTATGTGTGAGGTGTGCAGTGTGTGTGTCAAGGGTGTAGTGTGTTTAGGGAATGTAGTATGTGTTTGCTTACAAGGAATAAAGTGTTTGCATAGGGGATCCAGAGTGTGTACATCAGAAATGTAGTGTGTGTAGGTGGTGCAGTGTGTGTGCGTGCATGTGTGTGTGTGTGTGTGTGTAGGGGATCTAGGGTGTGTTTGAAGGACCCAGAGTGTGTATAGGAGATCTAGCGAGTGGGTGTAGAGGATTCAGAGTGTATATAGGGATCTAGTATGTGTGTATATGTAGATGATGCAGAGTTGGGTAAGGGATCTAGTGTGTGCCTGGAATGTAATGTGTTTAGGGGTGCAGTATGTGTATGAGGAGTTCTGTAGTATATATACATATATGTTTGGAAGTATTTTGTGTCTGTGTGTGTGTGGGGGGGGTGATGCAGTGTGTTGAAGGGCTGCTGTGTGTATGAGTGCAGTGTGTGTGTGAAGGGTGTAGTGTGTAAGTGTGAGGGGTGCTATGTGTGTGTGTGCTGTGTGGTGTGCATTGTGTGTGTGAGGGTGCTGTGTGTGTGAGGTGTGCAGTGTGTGTGAGGGTGCTGTGAGAGGTGTGCAGTGTGTGTGAGGGTGCTGTGTGTGTGTATGAGGGTGATGGTGCTGTGTGTGAGGGTGCTGTGTGTGTAATTGTGTATGTGAGTGAGGGTGCTGTGTGTGTTAGGGTGCTGTGTGAGGGTGATATGTGTGTCTGAGGGTGCTGTGTGTGTTTGGCGATATTGTGTGTTGGGGGAGGCAGGCTAATGCCAATATATATGTATTTATTTATTTTTAATAAAAAACAAAAAAAATTGCATTATATACCCCCTCCCTTCTTACCATTAGCCTGGGAAGGGGGACCGTGCTGCAATCCCTGATGGTCCTAGTGGTGAGTGAACTCTAGCCTGTGGGGCTAGAGTTCACTCTCGGGAAACACGGATCGTTGCCACAGTAACACTCTGGATTTCGTAAGAAGAACCCGGCGGAGCTGCAAGATAGAGCTCCTCCGGGTCCTCCTCTCCCTCCCTCTCCCACTGGTGGCAGCCTCTTACACTGCCTATGGGCTGATGAGGGAGATTTTTGATCTCCCCACCGGCCCATCGTGGAATGCAACAGGGCTGGCGCTCGGATAGCGAGAGCCCTGCATAGACCAGCCAGGGAGATCCTGTGACCTCCCCTGCCAGCCTCGGTCCCACAATCCCCAGCACAGGAATCGCGAGGGAGCATGGTACAGAGACATGCTCCTCCCTCCTCCTTCTTCACTCCTCAGCATCAGTGACAGGAGTGCCGCCGGCCCAGCGGCTCCAGCGTGGAATGCGGCCGGCAACCCACCGGCCCCCTCAGAGTGTGTGCCACCGGACCGGCCACCCGGTGGCACATACATGCTCAGCGCAGCCCCCAGATGCCGCGGCCCACTGGGAAATTTCCCGGTATCCCGGTGGGCCAGTCTGACCATGCTGGCAAATGCTAACATCCCTGTTAGCGAATCTACAATACGTAAAACAATAAACAAGAATGGATTTTGTGGGAGGATACCACAGAGGAAGCCACTGCTGTATAAACAAAACATTGCTGCACGTTTACAGTTTGCACAAGAGCACCTGGATGTTCCACAGCAGTACTGGCAAAATATTCTGTGGACAGATGAACCCAAAGTTGAGTTGTTTGGCAGAAACACACAACACTATGTGTGGCAAAAAAAAGGCACAGCACACCAACATCAAAACCACATCCCAACTATGAAGTATGGTGGTGGGGGAATCATGGTCTGGGGCTGCTTTGCTGCGTCAGGTCCTGGACGGATTGCTATCATCGAAGGAAAGATGAATTCCCAAGTTTATCAAGACATTTTGCAGGAGAACTTAAGGCCATCTGTCTACCAGCTGAAGCTCAACAGAAGATGGGTGTTGCAACAGGACAATGACCCAAAGCATAGAAGTAAATCAACAACAGAATGGCTTAAACAGAAGAAAATACGCCTTCTGAAGTGGCCCAGTCAGAGTCCTGACCTCAACCCCATTGAGATGCTGTGGCATAACTTCAAGAAAGCGATTCACACCAGACATCCCAAGAATATTGCTGAACTGAAACAGTTCTGTACAGAGGAATGGTCAAGAATTACTCCTGACCGTTGTGCACGTCTGATCTGCAACTACAGGAAACGTTTGGTTGAAGTTATTGCTGCCAAAGGAGGTTCAACCAGTTATTAAATCCAAGGGTTCACATACTTTTTTCCACCTGCACTGTGAATGTTTACATGGTGTGTTCAATAAAAACATGGCAACATTTCATTCTTTGTGTGTTATTAGTTTAAGCAGACTGTAATTGTCTATTGTTGTGACTTAGATGATGATCAGATCACATTTTATGACCAATTTGTGCAGAAATCCATATCATTCCAAAGGTTTCACATACTTTTTAATGCAACTGTATATACACAAAAGAAATCATAAACATAAACAGTGTTGCACTCCAGCTGCGTTTATCTTGTATTTGGGTTATATGTATGCCTTCCCCTCGAACCTAGTTCGTGGGTATGCTACTTGTCCAATGCGGTTGCTATACCTTTTAGCCCCACCATCTGAGGCCCTCACCTCCTCTCTGTCCCCGTGCCCTGAGCACCACCGCCCCAAGAGCCCTCCGCCGGGGCTTTCCTTATGGCTTTGCGCATTGGCCCCGGTCGACTGCCCCCGTGCGAGCCCACAGGGCCTGGACTCCTGGGGACGTTGTCGACTACCCCCGTACCCTTCTACACCTCAGGAGTGTGGATGTGTTGGCCGGTGAATTGTCCATCCAACCCGAATGGGCCTTGGGGGTCTTCCCATGACCCTGGTTCTACTCCAGTAACTTGCTACTAATGGGTGGATCCCAGGAAGACCCTCCCCTGTGTTGTTGCTAGTTTGTGTGTATTCTTATTTGGGTTCCCCCCGAGTGGTATGGCTCGTGTCATGACGGTTTCATGCCTCGGGATGGGTTGAGAGCGCAGCTCGTTACTTTGGTCTCTTATTGTCAGTCCTGTGATGCCTGCAGGCTGGGGTTCCCCCTCTTCTCTTTTTTAGTGACTCCATATCTGTAGTGTGTTGGTTAGAAGATATGACCCCTGTGTTGGTGTGTACCCTAGGTGTCGTATTCCTCGCATAGCTCACAGAACCTATGAAATGTGCCTGTCGTGTTCCTGACTTTGTTGTGTGCCGTTAGTTTGTCCATAAGGTAGTTATCCCATTACCCCGTGAGTACCAAGAACATCGGGGGCAGCTCTATATGTGTCCAGTTTTGTGCTATTGCCCTACTTGCCGCTAAGTTTATCATATTGAGCAATTTTTGGTCATATTTGTTTAGTCTGTCTAGGGGTTTGCATAGCAGGCAGACCCATAGGTTCGGTGTTAGTCGCCTTTGTAGTATTTGTGAGCTTAAGTCCGTCACTATTTTCCAGAAGACCGCTACTCTTGGGCTCTGCCACCACATGTGTATGTAGCTCCCTTTCCCTCCACACAGATGCCAGCATGTGTCTGTTGGGCTCACTTTCATGTGGCATTGCTTAACTGGTGTTGTGTACCATCTAAACAGTGTTTTGTAGCATAGCCCCTGTAATGTTACACACATGGATATGTTTTGCTGTATAGCGGAGGTGTCCCCATTCCCGGGATTCTGAACCGATGTGTTGGTATAATGTCATGATTAAGTGCAGTTGTGTGGTCTCGTTGAAGCAAAGTTTCTCAAAAACAGTGTTGTTTACGTATAGGTGGATGTATTGTTGTAGGCCAGTCGCCTCTATACCCCGTCCTCATCCCGCCAGGACTGGTGTCAGCGGGGAAAGGAAGCTTCCTAGGGCATATTTTTGCACTGTTTGGGCCCTTATCTGTATGGAGTTGGTTATGGCTGGGCTGGTGGTCCTCAATAGAGCGCTTTGGGTCTATGGGGCCCAAGTATAAAATTGGGGTAAGTCGGATACCATGAGTAAGGATTCGATATCCACCCACCTTCTTTGCTCTGGGGGAGTGTGCCAGTGTACTATTTGCTAGTTGCTCTGCTAGGTAATAGTGGTATAGGTGTGGTAGTCCTAAGCCCCCTATGTCTTTAGGTCGATACAGAAGGCTTCTAGCTAGTCTAGGTCGTTTCTTCTGCCATATAAAGGTGTCAATCGCCCTCTGTACGTTAGCGAGGTCCCCTTTAGTGTCTTTTATAGGTAGTGCCTGGAACAAGAACAGTAACCTAGGTAATATATTAATTTTTATGGAGTGTAGGCACCCTATCCATGAAATGGGTTTATCTATCCATTTCTCCAGATCTCCTGTCAGAGTTCGGAAGAGAGGTGTATAGTTGCTGTGGAAAAGTGTAGCTGGGTTAGCTGTGAGGCGTACCCCTAGATATGTGAATGCCTCTTTTTCAATCTTTAGTTTGTATTGCTGTTGGATGGTTGTTGTGTCGTGGGTCGACATGTGGAAGGGTATAGTCACTGATTTGGTTAGGTTGACTTTATATCCTGCTACTTCGCCATACCGGGTCAGCAGTGTTGTTAGTCTGGCCATGGTTTGTGTGGGGTCAGTAATTGTGACAAGCACAACATCGGCGTACGCCAAGACCTTGAATTGGTGCCCTGCTATCACCACTCCTGCTATGAGTGGGTCATACCTGATTGCTGCCAGGAGTGTCTCGAGTGTGAGCGCAAAGAGGAGCGGGAAGAATGGGCACCCCTGTCTTGTTCCATTAGTCAGGGCAAACGGGATCTGTGGAGCTCCCGACAAGAGTGTTTGTGCCCTCACATCTGCGTACAATGCTGTGATGGCAGTCACGAATGGGCGTGGGAAATTCATCCTAGTGATCAGCTTAAATAGGAATTGTCATTTGACATGGTCAAAAGTCTTCTCCGCCTCCAATGACAGTAGCAGAGAAGGTACCCCCGATTCCATCATGTGCCATAGCATATCCGCCCCTCGTCTGGTGTTCTCGTAGAGTGGTCTGCCTGGGATGAAGCTCGCTTGGTCAGGGTGTACAAGGAGTGGTAGTATGGCATTGAGTCTGGCTGCCAGTATTTTGGCCAAAAACTTTACATCTGAATTGATCAGAGAGATGGGTCTATAGTTTGATGGCAGTGTGTGGTCTCTGTTGGATTTCGGCAGTAGGACTATGTTTCATAATGGGTCCTCCTCCCCGCTCACCGTGGGTAATTTAAGGCCAGCCAGGAAGGAGTTGATATGTTGCATGTATTCTACGTTGTTGTGGTCGTGTTTTTGGTGAGTGGTTGTAGAATGCTGTAAAGTATTTGGTGAATTCAGCATTTATCGTCTGTGGTGTTTTAGCTAGCGTATTTTAGTGATGGGTTTGGTACCAGGCCTAGGTCGGAGTGTTCTAGCCAGTAATGTGTCCATTTTGTTCGCCTTTTTGTAGAAATGGTGCCTTGTCCACACCAGGGAGCGGGCCACCTCTTCTGGTGCTAATTCTTTGATATTATGTCTGAGGGCTGTGAGGTCCTCTAGTTTATGAGGTGTTGGATTGTGTTTGTGCTGATGTGCTGCTTTATGAAATGATGCTTGGTACTCCAGAAGGGTGACTATCTTAATGAAGTGGCCTCTAAGGACCGTCTTGTGGGCAGCCCATAGTGCTGTGGTGTTTATGTCGGGAGTACCGTTCAGCATGAAATAGTTGTTTATGGTCTGTCTAGTGAGTGTTGTCGTCTCGTTGTCATCTTTGAGGAGGTTGGTGTTTAGCTTCCAGGTCCTGTTGGAGTTTATTTTTCAGTTTGTCTAGTGTGAGGGAGAAGTCAGCATGGTCTGACCATGTAATCATATTTGTACCCGTGTGTAGGGCCTTGTGTATTCATGTGTCGTTAAGAAAGAGATTGTCAATTCTTGAGTAAGAGCCAGGAGTAAAACGTAAAGTCTCGGGCTTCTGGGTTTTGTAGTCTCTAGACGTCTAAGAGTCCGTGTGGGTCAGAAACGTGTGTAGCAGTTTGTCCTGTGTCCCCACTGCCCTGTGATCTTGGTATGCCTGGTCGCGTGCTCCTGTCAATTGCCGGGCACGGGCCTGCGTTAAAATCTCCACCCACCACTAGTACACTGTGATGAAAGTAACCGCGTCTGGTTCTTGGAGGGACCTGCTGGCCAGCCTCTTGACTCAGGACTATGGGTCCTGCAATATGCCTTGCCCAATGCACTTTAAAAGGCTCTGTTCATGTGAAGTATGCACTTTTGTACTCCAGACTAATTCTCTGGAACTGTTTTGGGCATGGGGTGATTTTTGGATATGTTGTTCACCCAGATCAGGGATGTAACATTTATGGGGATATGTTGTGTTTTGGGGTACTTTTGGGGTTTTGTAAAATATGTTTTTTTCTGCATGGAGGTAATTGGGTTAATACAGTATCTGACTCAATTATCTCACAGGCAGAGGGGAGGGATTGTATGTTTGTTATGGGAGTGCCGTACATTTAATTACTGTTCTGATTGGTTTGTAAGCTTTGTGTACCTGTCCCCAACAAGGTCCATGTGGGCATACACCTGTAGCGTGCCAGTGATCGCTATGTAGCAGCCCTCTGGGACAATTTGGCTGTGTGATCATGAGCGTGCACCTTTTGTGTATTAGGATTGCAACCCCTGCTTTTGTTTCCTGGTGTTCCGCGCTTCATGTACTACTGTATATGTCCTGTCTCCTAGTTTGGTGAGAGCTGTCTGTGGGAGGTGTGTCTCTTGCAATAGGGCAATGTCCGCCCCCTTGGATTTCATGTCTCACCCCATGAGCCATCTATTGTTAGGGGTGTTGAGCCCCTTTACGTTTAGTGATATTATTTTAAGGGCCATATCCTAGGGTCCAAGGGAGTGCTATAGTCACCATTGTTAGTGTGTTGGCTGGGTTTGCGTAGGGGGACGGTCCTGAAATTTCTACCTTGAGTGTTGGCATGAGCAATCAGATGAGCAACAGTATCAACAAAAAAAAAAAAAAAACATATCGCCGGTATTTGGTGCACAGAGACATCGTGCAGTGGTTTTGGACTATACAACAGGGGACACATTATATAGTAATTGTTTTTCATTTAGCCTGTATATGTTCTGTGGAATCTGCATTAAACTGTATCTTCCAAAGTACTGAACGGATCTGGGTGAATTTTGGATATGTGGTTCACCCAGATCCCCCGCTTCCAAGGATATATTTTTTATGGGGTTATTGCATGTTTGGGGGTCCCTGTGATGTGTTTTATAATACTGAATTTCTCTGCCTGTGATAATTAGATTAACCATTGTGTTCAGTAATCATATCACAGGCAGAGGGGAGGATTTTGTGTGGGAGTGTCTGTGTGTATTGTACGGATTGATTGGTTGTGTTTCAAAGCCCTGCGGGCAGTACTGTTTGTGGATTGTGAATAAAAGAGGCTGTATGTGCCAGTACTGTGAGTTCCTGCTTAACCCTCAAAGTAAAGTGTCGTCTCATTATTGGGGTAGGATTTATTGTATGCTGTTCCAGTTTGACTGCTAGGAGTGTAAACCTATTCGCATGGTTTTTCCTATTCGGCTGTATACAACATTCATATGCTTAAAAGTACTCATATGCTTCTCCGGTTCGGTGATTGTGGTGTCTGCCAGAGTTCTTGAAGTCCTTAGAAAGCGCTAGGAGCATCCTTCAACGGAGGTACCCAGTCGGGGTGCCAGGTAATCCGTTACATGAACACACTAACGCCTCCTGAGGTGACAGATGCCTTTTTTTCTCTCACACCGAACCAGAGGAGGAAAATCGGGGCCTACCAAACGCTGACACTCCTGGGCCTGGAGGTGCTCCTCACACAACAAATAAGTGGCGACTTCTCCCGGACCCCTCCCGACACCCCCGCCCAAATGCCAGCAATGGGCCGCCGCTCACAGAAAACGACTGTGACAGACGGACGATGCTCCAATGGCCAACACAGCCCAAACCCGCTCCCGCGGAAACCCTGCGACTCACCTACCATAACTACCCGGGAGAACAAAAGGAGCCTGACCACTCACTGGCCACACAACCACGGCCACCTGAAATCCCCACCGACTCCACACCGACAACCAGGTACGACCCGAAGGTCCTGCTGACAGATTTCCATAAAATCCTGGCGACGGAACTCGTTCCTATAAAAACTGACATGACATCACAGACCGCGTAAAGGTCTCAGAAAAAGACATAACAGACATGCAAACGCACATCTCAGAACTCCAGAACTCAATGCAGCAGGTCTGGTCCTACCAAAGAGCCATGTCCGCACAGATGACTGCCATGGAGGACCGACACTGCCGCTCTAATATAAAAATAAGGGGCATCCCAGCGGCAGTAACCGCGGACAAACTACCTCACAATGTCAGGCGCTTACTGGCCTCCATCCTGCCTCACGCAGTAGCCAAAAAAATTGACGGTTGAGGGGACCTATCGCCTACCTGGACCCGCAGGGGCGCTGACAAACATGGCAAGAGACGTCATACTCAGGTGCCTAACAGTACACTACAAAATACTAATCATGTCGGCAACTGAGGGCAAAATACACCTACATTTTGAAGAGGCTACACTAATGTTTTACCAAGATCTAACGAAGGCAACCCTCATCTGGCGCAAAACATTTCAACCGGTAACAAGCCTACTACGAGCAACGAACATAAGATACAGGTAGGGAATGAATGGATTCCTGCACACACTTACCTTGATGGAAGACACACCACCATTCCTGACAGCACTGGGCCTGGAGCACCTGCCAGCCAACACACCTCCGAGCATCTCCACTCCCACCTGGAACCCAGACCACACGGCAACCTTCCTCCAGAGGACCGAGAGCACACGAGCGACGGACCCAGGAACAAGCTCAAGAGCCGACCCAACATAGGGCACTGGAATCCATGCCTCTAAGGCAGCCGTGCGTGCCCCAAGGGCCTGTATCTCGGCCCTCACCTCTTGCGAGCTATCTTGCAGGTCAGATAGTTTCGTACCTCCAGGAGCTGGGTGAGTATTTGTGAGGTTTCTGAGATAAAAAATTATTATAAACATCCCTAAAACAGGGAAGTATATAATGGGATAGGGGATTAGGTGAAACACCCAGATAAGAACAATACAATCTGTGTGGCAAAAATAATGTTATGGTATATATCTACAAATATAAAGAACAAAATATGGTGAAGTATATAGGGATAAAATACAGAATCCACGAGGTAGAGAACTTACAAAATGTAAGGAATAAATGTGCCTGTCTCCCCTCAAGGGTATTTTGAGATGGTGAGGATCTTCCCAATGGAGCCAAAAACCTCAAAGGAACAAATAGTAGAGAATAGTGCAAAATTATTTGAAATACAACAAATTTAATTACAAGTTGCACTTACATATATTTATAGTCAAGAGCTACCAACTTGTGCATATAGAGATTTAAGTAATATCTAAGTTGGGCAAAATTTGAACTACATATATTAACTGACTGAAAGCCAGAACAAGGTATTGAAAACTTTTTATTCAATCTCTGGTCCCTAGCTTTGAGAACCACACACAAATCCCCCTGGGAATAGGTTATATTCTCAATTACATCTTGTCGATATGAGGAGAGACACCAAACTGACATCTTTCCTAATGTTAAGAGGAACTAAGTGGGCAGAGGTAACCATGGTTGCTGCATTAGAATTAGTAATTGTGAGACAATTACCCTATGAAAGACTTGGAAGAGGGAGATTTGGGGGAGAGTTAGAAGGGGATATCCAAATTGGCAGTTTCTAACATCTGAAGTCTATTATTTATTGAGTTGATTCAAGTCATAATGGATGATAGGACAGCGTGCATCTCTGTCAAAATTGCTGAAACTTTCCGCACTTGTACTAGGTCTTGGTTTATCGATTCGAGACTTCATTAGACGCTATAGGTTGGCTTTCCTGGCCATAGAAAAGAATGGAATGTTCCGCCTTCATAGTTCTGCAGTGATTTTAGGGACTGTCCAGGACCTGATAGAGCTTGGACTTGCAGATTTTTCTCCGATAGGTGTACCAGTTCTGGTTGTGCTGCTAGGAAGGGATCACATTGTTCTGAAGCAGATATGCGAAGATAGAGGAGAATTGACAGATTATTGTAATGAGGACCTCCCCCCCAGTAGATAGTGTGAACTGATTGGCTGTCTAATGCCAAAAGGCAAACTATTAACTAGTTGGATGACTGGTGAGGCCCTGCTAGATGCCAAGTAGCTTTAAGAGGCACTATGATTTGAGCCATGGGGCAGAGGGCCACCAAACACAGGTTGTTGGCCTCTAGGTGACGATTATAAGGCATAATGCAGAATGGCCGTGACATGTAAGGCTCTAACTATGTAAGAGAGCAAGGCACCAAGTATGATTTGGTTTGATAGGTAAATTAAATCCATGGAAGAGGATGTTGGCCTTGCAGGATCACGAACTATTGCTGGGAAAGCCTAGAAGAAACAGACTTTGTGGGTTATGAAAAAGTCCTTAAAGCCAGTTCACCTAGTGCCTATATAAATGAATAAGATCCAGATTTTTATGTAAATTTGAAAATTAAACAGTGAAGTGCATACCTAAATAAGTTTTTTAATCATTAAGGAACAGGAAAGGAAGAAGAACCTAAGAATCGTAATATGCATCGAGATTTAGGAAAAAGCGCATTGAATGATTGGACTAAAGAGCTACCCATCAAGGGGAAACGACATGCCACTTGATAGAACGTACAACCATTAAGGTGGCAGAGGAAGGCCTTGGGAGTGAGAATTAAGATATACATGAAAGACAAATAATGACATGATGAACAGAATATAGAAAATTATCGTATACCAGGGAGAAATCTATCAAACAGAGAGGGAGAAGAAAGACAGGAGTATTAAAATAAATAAAATAAAGGATTGTGACAGTATTAAGAGACAAAGATATTGTTCTCCTCTGGTGAGCGGGCATCAGAGGCTCTCAGTGAACTTCATCACCTCGAATGAGATGAAATTCATGGGCACTACACTACTCAGTTTAAATCTTATTATGGCAAGTGTGGTGTAGGGCATTTAACGATTATTTCTCTCTCCCCCTGACTATTGTTTACTGTAAGGAGTTCTCACCACACTGAGAGCCCTATTAAGGACTTTTAGTTATTTAGTGTTTCTACAGTTGTAGATATATGCTTTCACGGGCACTTTAGTGCGACTTAGAGTGTGTATATAATTTGCTACATTTTTTTGGTGTGTTTTTTTTATTTTTTTATCCTGGGTGTTTCACGTATATTCTCATCTCATATGTAGTTACAACTACATTGTCTCTGACTTCACGGCTTCCTTCATGAGAGTTAAATGCTACTTTATATCTAATTTATAATACCCTGCCTATCACATATATATCAAGCTTTCAATTTTGCTTTGAGCAGATTTATTGCTGGCAAATGACAAGCATTTAATATCTCATCAAGCACAATTACTCTTTTTACTGTGGAGAATTTGTATTAGTTATTAAGATAATACATTTTTTTTTATCCCATCATACTAACTACTTTTTAGGGACAAGCTTTATATTATATACAGTGGACCATGTAACAAATATGATTATAAAGCGGTGTCTCACTTTAGACACGTTTTAAATGCCAGAACAGTTCCATATTTTTTTACATATATACATATATATATATACATATATACATACATATACATATACACACACACACACATATATACATACATATACACACACACACATATATATATACATACATATACACACACACACACACACACACACATATACATACATATACACACACACACACACACACACAAAAAAAACCATACAAGGTACATATAAGTGCTGCTGGGGCCAATTTATACTACATACAAGATTCAGTGCACTCATTCACTAAACAGCAATTTCAAGACTCACAGAATATGTTTTATTAAAAATAACCTAATCTAGGCAAAAATAATGGTTTAAGTTACAGTATATGATTATATATTGCATAAGGCCGCCCCAGTATGCCACCACGTTAATGTACCCCATTCTTGGCAGGTCCTACTCTAGCATCCTAATGCCTGCTCTTATGAGATTAATCCACTTACTTGGGGAATATTTCCTTTTATTTATGCTAAATATGCAAATTGAATCTACAATTTTAAAACCAAAACACAAAGTTAAAAACCATTTTTAATCAATTTGCTTCAAATCTGTAGCTACTTCATAAGCTTACAGCAACCACATCATAGTGTATGTATTTGCTTGACAAATAGCCTCACATGTACTTTTGCATGAATGAAGCTACTAGCAGCATTGTACAGGCTCCTTTAAAAAAACAATGACATTCCAAAGAAGTCTGCTCCTTGTTATGAGATTTATATAGTCTCAGAATTTGCAGGCATTTAGCTAAAAGTGATTTTTACAAATCACTGTAAATATAGACTGACAAGAGACATGAAGGTGTTTTGATTGTCTCCTTTAATTCCAATGAGCATTTTCCACATTGTTTTCTTATATATGTTATGCAGCATTAAAAGGACAGATTTCTATTTACAGAATAAAAAAAAATAAAAAAATTCAGAAAAACATTCAGGCACAACCTTTATTTTTTATTCTCACCACGTTTCACAGTTCAAGTGGTCGAAGATCTTCACACAATTCTGAAAGGAATATTAAAAATACAAAAAAAAAAAAAATACAAAAAAAAACCAAACACATTGGCTGATAACAGAACATTACATTGCACGCCGACTGAGCATTCAGCAGTAAAATTATGCATAAAAAAAATACAGTAAATATATGCTGTATTCAAAGAGCGCAAGCAGGCTAATTTTCAAAGTATATTTAAAAAAAAACAAAAAACAAAAAACAAAAAAACTCATCATCGCTGGTCAGAACAGTCCATATTCTATAAATATCCCCACTGAAACTGGACCTTTGATATTCAATGACACTAGTAAAAGAAGTCCTGGTTTACATAACAATTGTATAAGGAGTGTTCAAATGGATTTTTAAACTATGAAAGATCAAATGTTACGGGGCAGTCTGTGTAGGGAAAAAAAAAAAAAAAATATGTAGTGTTCCTGAGGTTAAGGTATTTTTTTTTTACGCTATAAGGCACTAACATCGCCAGAAAATAGGACTAAAACGTGATCACAATTAAAATAAAATGTGATTTTAAGTCTTAGAATAAATTACAAGCAAAAAAAAAAAAATTCCAAAAAAATGCAAGGAAGGTGCACAAAACTAGTCAAGCAGCAACTAAAAAGAAAATATAGGCAGAGAAAAAAAAAATTGCTCCTAATGCACGGACCAACCGAATTTTATTGTATTACAAACATAATTAAAAAAAAAAAAAAAAGTTTCAATTTGTAGCTACAAGAATTGAAATTGTTGGACACCTATAAAAATACAGCTCAAGTGACCCTTAAAATGCAGCTTTTTTTTCCCCCAACTTATTGGATTCACTCACAATTTCATTGGCTCTGAAGCGGAGGAATAAAAAAACAAAAACAAAAAAAAAACTTTCCTATTTAGGATTCATTTCTACTCATTTATGCATGTGCTAATCTGACCTATGTCTTACAGTCAAATAGAAAAAAAAGCAATTAGATGCAGCCAGCCGGGACTACATTATGGTGCAGAACAGTAATATGAAACAAAAACCACACAACCCCACACACTCACAAATGCACATAGCAGATCTAACAAATTGCATTTTGCAACAGAATATTGAAACTAGGTTTTTTTCCCCCACCTTCATACACATGATTTGGTTTGGAGTATTACAATGTAACAAATGAACTGCAGTATGAATGAACCTTCATAGCCTGAGATCATGGCTTTTCTTCTGTGATTTCATGTGCTTACACCAACAGCCACAACAGCATTATTAAAATAAAAGTCTTATGTAGTGTGGCTGTTGCTCAACTAGTCCCAGAAGTCATATCACGGCTGGGGTTAGCTCGAATCAGTCAGGAATAGCTTGAATCAGTCAGACTTGTCTTTTTTTTTCCCGCTCACTTTACTGGAGACAACAGATCCCACTGCAGCGACACTACCAGTGACAGCAGACACTCCACCTTTGACAATTCCAACACCTATGCTAGGTACAGATGTGACCGCTGTTTTGGTAACTTCATAACTTTTTCCTCCGATCCAGGCGACACCTCCTATGGTGGCTCCAACAGCTCCTTTGGTGATGCTGAAAATGCCACCTGTTACACGGGAAATCATACCAGGTTGCTGCTGAGGATGATCTTTGACATTATCTAGAGAAAAGATAAACATGGTTAATCAATCATTTAAGGGAAATTTTTGTGCCTATAGTGTCCCTTTAAACTAAACTAAGGGTAGAGGCCCTAAATTTAAACAAAAATAAAGGAACAAACTTTTTGGGTGTGAAAAAAAATACATTCTCTATGTCATACCAATGTAAAGTGATTAGGTGATGGGACTCAACTTACAAAAACACTATAACCATGTATGCTCCTTTAATAGGTTATGGTACAAGGGGTTCTTAAATTCCAGTCTCCTTTATAAAAAAAAATAAAAAAATAATTACAGTACTCTGCACAAATAATTGCAGCTACAAGCCAAAACCCTACAGGGCATTTGCACAACACTCCATTAGTTACAGTAAAAGGGTCAGGACTGACTAAAGAATTGTTGGCTATAACTCCCTACAAGCACTGAGAATTAGCAGTACATGTACTTAAAGGGACACTCCAGGCACCCAGACCACTTATGCCCATTGGAGTGGTCTGGGTGCCATCTCCCACTACTCAACCCTGCAAGTGTAATTATTGCAGTTTTTTTTATAAACTGCAATCATTACCTTGCAGGGTTAACTCCACCTCTAGTGGCTGTCTACTAGACAGCCACTAGAGGGCACTTCCTGTATCATAGCACAAAAAATGTAGCGTGGCCGGGCGGCGCGGAACCAAGGAGGGGGGGACCCGCGACCACTGGGAGTAAGGACCTGGGGAGAGGGGGGAGGACCGCTGAGAGGAGGGGGGAGTAAGACCGCTGAGGGAGGGTGGGGGGGAGTAAGGACCGCTGAGGGAGGGGGGGGGGGAGTAAGGACCACTGGGAGGGAGGGGGGGGAGTAAGCAGTGGGAGGGGGGGGACCACTGAGGGAGGGGGGGAGGCGACCACTGAGGGGAGTGAGGGAGTAAGGACCCACCGAGGGGAGGAGGACCAAGGACCACTGACCACTGAGGAGAGGGGAGAGTAAGGACCACTGAGGAGAGGGGGGACCACCGGAGGGAGAGGGGGGGGATAAGGACCACTGAGGGAGAGGGGGATATGACCACGAGGAGAGAGGGGGGGGGCAAGGACCACTGAGGAGAGGGGGGGATAACCACTGAGGGAGAGGGGGGGGTAAGCACCAGGGAGAGGGGGTAAGGAGGGAGAGGGGGAGGGAGGGGGGGGAGGACCACTGAGGGAGAGGGAGGAGCAAGGACCACTGAGGGAGAGGGGGGGAGCAAGGACCACTGAGGGAGAGGGGGGGGAGTAAGGACCACTGAGGGAGAGGGGGGAGTAAGGACCACTGAGGGAGAGGGGGGAGGGGGGGAGGGAGAGGGGGAGTAAGGACCACCGAGGGAGAGTGGGGGGGGTAAGGACCACTGAGGGAGAGGGGGGGGGGGGTAAGGGGGGGGTAAGGACCACTGAGAGAGGGGGGGAGGGACCAATGAGGAGAAGGGGGAGTAAGGACCACTGAGGGAGAGGGGGGGGAATAAGGACCACTGAGGAGAGGGGGGGGGAACAAGGACCACACTGGAGGGAGAGGGGTGGGGGGAGTAAGGACCATTGAGGGAGGGGGGGGGAGAGGGAGAGGGGGGAGTAAGGACCACTGAGGGAGAGGGGGAATAAGGACCAAGGACCACTGAGGGAGAGGGGGGGGAGTAAGGACCACTGAGGGAGAGGGGGGAGGCGGCACCCACTGAGGGAGAGGGGGAGTACATCACTGAGGGAGGGGGAGTAAGGACCCTGAGGGAGAGGGGGGGGAGTAAGGAGGGAGAGGGGGGAGGAGTAAGGACCACTTAGGAGAGGGAGGTCCACTAGGGGGTCCAGAGGGAGGACCACTGCTGGGGCAGGAGGGAAGGACCACCAAGGGGGGGGAGGGCGGACCACTGAGGGAGGGAGGACCACTAAGAGGGAGAGAGGGGAGTGAGAAGACCACCAAGGGGGGACTGCAGAGGGACAGGGGGCCAAGGGAGAGCACTAAGGGACAGAAAGAGAGAACACTAATTGACAGGAGGGGAGAGCACTATGAATTTTTTTTTTTTAAACAAAATAAAGAGCTGCTCCCCTCTCAGTCCCTATCCTACCCCACAAACCCTCTCTTTTACACTACACACATACACAATTCATCCCCACACACACACACAGAAACATACAATGCATCCTTACTAACACAGACACACCCGACACACTCAATGCACCCCTTACAGACACACACTGCATTCAATTGCATACACAGAAACACACCTTGCATCCCTTGCGCACACACACCCACCCAGAAACAAACAATGCATTCCTTACACGCAAACACACACTGCATCCACTATACACACACTACATCCCTTACACAAATTGGTATCCCTATACACTACATTCTATAAGAACACACACACATTGCATCCTCTACAATAACACATAAAACATCCCCTACACACATACACTCCACTACCTGTGAGAGAACTCATAAGTGGGCCATGTAGGTGGATTTATGGGTGGGCATTGTAGGCATACTCACGGTCAAGCCCTGGGGGCCCAGACCTTGAGCTGTGTAAGGGGCCCCAAAAAATGGCGCTGCTTCCTGTTTTACACCAGACCTGTGGAGCCAGACTGAGCCCATCATCAGCCTCTTGTCCTCATCTGGTGGTAAGTAGGCAATCCAATATATTATTAGTGGCACTAATCTCTAATGTACCTCACATTGGATACTATAGTCACCAGAAGCACTACAGCTTAATGTAGTGGTTCTGGTGTCTATAGCCTGTGCCTGTAGGCTTTTTAATGTAAACACACTGTCTTTTCAGATAAAAGACACTTTGTGAAGACTGGCGTTGGCCCATATGGCAGAGCATATGGGCGGAGCATTGTGATGTCACATGGTGGGCGGCAAAAATTTTTTTGCCTAAGGTGGCAAAAATCCTTGCACCGACCCTGGGTGGAAGGTAGAGGGGATCTGCAGTACCAAGAAAAAAAAATTGTTTTCCTGGCACTGGAGTTTCCCTTTAAAGAACCTTAATGGAAGACTCCACACAGATAAACCACTTGAGGTTACTGAAGTGCTTTATGTGTTAGCATATGTTCATTTTAATAGTAGTTTACTACAGTACAGATTTCAATTAAAATTGGCACTTTTATAAATCATTGCAAAAATGCATAATTGGCTGTCGAACAGTCAGGGAGATTATCTTCCGCTAGCTCCACAGCGATAATATAAGTGACAAGTGTGCTCTGCTAGAGCCTGTCTACATTCTCCCCATGTCTGTGGACTCCAGGCTTGCTTTATGAGAAGTCTTTAAATTGGAAAACTGCGCCCAAGTTCGCAGCTCAAAAACCTGTATTTTGTTTTGTCATTTACATAATGCATTGTCTATTGCATAACACAATATAAAAATTAATCTTAGTCCTTCAGTGCTTCTTAAAACAGACCTACCTTCTATTACTAAATATGTATAGTGTTTGCTCTGTGAATGTGATCAAGACTCTAAAATGTCCTCATAGCATAGAGTAAGATAATATAGTTCAGTCTGGAAAAATATAGGTAGAAAAAAAAAAAAAAAATAGTACCGCTGTAATTAAGGATACCAAGAAACAACACAGCAGTGACGGATAAAGGACCATAGGAAAATGGAATTGTAATGCATCTTAATTAACTTAGCAAAGTCACTGAACAGGCTACAAATTATTCGGTTTTCTAAACTTTTGGAATGCAAGAAAAACACTAATGCTAAGAACATCAAAGACTGTCTCAAGTGTGCACCTGCTAACTCTGTTTCTCTAACAATATTTCAGTTGATAGTTTGCCTCAAGCTTCTTTTCATACATAATTTCTCATTTACAGTAGGGGAAAAAAAATAAAAGATAAAAACCTTCAATCTATACCTGCATCTGCCACATCAAGAGCAAAAGTCTGTGGTGCACACTTCACTGAATTGTAAAACAAAAATGTCAGACCTTCAATAAAAAGTAGTAAATCTGTCAGCACAGTTTTAATTGCTGAAAGACCCAGTCATATTTCACAGACTGAAATCCTATTAAATATCATTGCAAACTAATTACTGGAACAGAAATATAGCATTGCATTAAACATGTGTAGAATCATGAATAAACACAATTTTACTAAAAACTTGAAAATAAATACACACACGTACGTTTAGTTTGCATAGGTTAAGAGGGTACTTTGCATACTTGTGAAAGTTTGGCTTAATAGACCTTGGAAATAGTTGTTTTTTTCCCAGACTAGTATAATATTGCAGGTAAACCCTCCCAGTTCAGGTGCTGACTACTACTAGGAGCTGCTTATTCTCATCCACGGATCAAGTTTCCTTATGACCTCATATATAATTTGGCCTCAAACTCCAAATTCACTCATCAGATGGAGTGGACGGAACTACTTAAAAAGCTTTTTGCTTTAAAAAAAAAAAAAAAAAAAAAGTTAACGTTTCTTATTGCTTAAGAATGAGAGGCTCTAGGTGGTGGAAGGTGTTAAATTTACCTCTTTTTCAAGCGCAGGGCGGGGAACTCTCCTCCTCATCAGGCCGAATGCGCACGCGCGCACGCACGCATTCAGCCAGTCCATAGGAAAGCGTTCTCAATGCTTTCCTATGGATGCTGCAGTCTTCTCACTGTGAAAATCACAGTGAGAAGCGCGGAAGCGCCTCTAGCGGCTGTCAATGAGACAGTCACTAGAGGCAGGATTAACCCTGATATAAACACAGCAGTTTCTCTGAAACTGCTATCTTTATAGAAGAAAGGGTTAATCCTAGCTGGACCTATAGTGGTCCTTTAAAAAAAAATAGATACAACCATGGCTGTGCGAAGAAAATTGTATGTATGTATCTATGTATATATGTAAATGGAATAACATTTATTTATAAAATATTTCACCAGGAAAGATACATTAAGATTTCTCTTGTTTTCAATGTCCTGGGTCCACAAAACATTGCATTGATACAATAGGATACAATAAAATACAAAAACAATATTAATACACATTATATAACTTAACATAGAACAGGTAGGAAACAAATAATCAACCATGACACGTGCATTCTGTTTTGAGGTATGTAATGAGAGATCTCTTAAAGGATTTTAGGCTTGGAGAAGATTTGAGTGTGCGGGAGGTCGTTCCATAATTGCGGTGCTCTGTAGGAAAAAGAGGATAGGGCCACTTTCTTTTTGTATTGGGGTAGACTAAATAAAGTGCTGGTACAGCTGGGAAGAGCATTCTGCTCATGTAGGGCAGGAGCTTCCCAGAAAAGCTCCTAAACACAAGGCTGGAAAGATTAAGTTCTGCTTCATAAATACAAGAAGGAGCAGATCTTAGGATCTAAAATATAGTAGTTAATGTAATAATTCCATGGCATAATGATGTAATGTATATGTTTTGAATGTCTTAAAAGCGCAAAAAATAAAATAAAAAAAATAAGAATGCATATTAAAAAAAAATAATATTTTTTTGCATATTGTTACCCTTAAAACATGGGTTCTCAAACCTTTTCGCTTCCTTGAGCCACATTGAGCTAAGAGTAATTGTCTTGAACCACACATAAAATATAGAATACATTTAATAAAACTTTAAAAGCACCTCTCTTAATTTGGATATTTAATTTATTTAGTAGATAACTCCCTTATGTTATCCTTATGTGGGATTGCAATATTTAAGAAAACCAAATTAGGGAGCTATCTACTAAACACACACAAAATCACAAACACAGACCCATACACACAATCATATATATGCACACACAGACATACAAATAATCACACATATACACAATCACGCTCTGCATGGAGATACTGACCATTCTCCATAGAGATGTATTGATTCAGTGCATCTCTAGAAGGTGATCCTGATTGGTGCAGTGCTGCATTTTACCGCGCATGTGCAATAGCCTCACAATGCTTTCTGGGAAATCACTGGATTGGAAAAAAATGTATGACCTCAGCAATGAATGAAGGGCATTTAGGGAGAAACGGTATGTAAAATACCTTTTAAAGCCACAGAGAGGGAGGCCCAGATACCTAAATGTTTACTCCAGCCCTATAGAACTATTATAATACACGTTTATATTCTGAACACTATGGTTTTCTTTAAGGATCCATAACAGAATAATCAGAGAGCTCTGCACTGTATCCCTCTAATTTTATTCTGGGGTTTGAGTGTTAGTGAGAATTAGTGTTCCAACTGTTCAGAGGTTTCAAAATTAGACATAGGTCCAACAAATCCATCTAAAAAATTCCAACTGTAAAAACTGAATTAGTCAGGTTCAAAGGCATCAGAGGGTGTGAGGGGGACTGACCTAGCCTAGAGCCCCAAGTTGGTACCTGAAATGCCCTGGGTCCCCAAAGCAGAAGTTAGACTTATTAGCCCTGGGAATCAGGGATATATACACTTAGGTTCTCATTGAAGTTCTGGCATGCCAATATTACCTGCCGTACGTGTAGAAACTTCAGTTGTTTGTTTACTTTGTGGCAACGCGGTGAGTTGGCTCAGCTGTCTCCTAGATCAGTGTGGCAGAATCCCCCTTTGTATCTCATTATCTGCATGCTGTAGCTGGCCACCCGAATGGCTAAACAGGCATCAAGAGCCCCATGACGTAGGAGTTGGCAGTCGGGAGATAAGACGTGAGGAGTGGAGCTATCGCATCCTGCATCCCCAATCTAAAGGGTAGGCAACCATTTAATAGTACTATGCCAAAACAAGATTTTGAAATCCCTTGGCGTGCCAATCCTCTTTATTTATTTTTATTATTTTTTTTAAATTGAGGTGTGTAGGTTGCTTTTTTTTGCTTTGTGTTATTTAGGAGTGCTGCAGTTGCTTTGTAGCGATACATTAGTGCGTATGTGGACTATTATATTGTACAGTGCCCTCCTCTAGTACTGGCAACATTGACAATATGAGAAAAGAATGCTGTGGAAAACAGAAATTTTACTTACCGTAAATTTTTTGCTTCTTAATATGGTGGCAGTACCAGTGGGTTTGTATCCTCTTGATGGACAAGCCGACTGTCAATAAATAAAACATTTAAATAATCCCTCCTCCACCTTTAAAACCCCAGACTTACCTCAGGACCATAAGTAAATGAAAAGACACAATAGGCCATATCATGCTCAATATAAAATGTATTATCAAAAGAGGGAGGGAATCATACTGCCACTATATTAAGGAAAAAATTATTTACGGTAAGTAAAATTTCTGTTTTTCCTGGCATATAGTGGCAGTACCAGTGGGATATAACAAGATCCCTGGGACATTAAAAGGGTGGGCCTCAGCTATCTACAGCTTGCAGAACCTTTCCCCCAAAAGCAGCCTCAGAGGACGAGAAGATGTCTAGACAACAGTGCTTGAATGTATGAAAAGAGGACCATGTTGTCGCATTGCAGATGTGTTCAGGAGAGGCGTTGGATTTTTCAGCCCATGAAGTGGACATGGCTCTGGTTGAGTGCTCTGATGGAGGAAGGTAATTTAACATCATGCAAGTCATAAGACAACTTGATGGTGTCCATTAACCACCTCGCCAGAGTGGGTTTAGATGCTCCCATACTCTTTTTTCCCTGAAAATTAATAAAGAATAATCAGAAGAGCTCTGCGAACATCTAGGTTATGCCACTTCCGTTCTTGATCTGAACTACAGAATAATGGAAGCACCAGACATTCATTAAGATATTTTCTTGAAAGAACTTTCTGTAAAAAAGAAGGCTTAGTATACAGCACAACCTTGTCCTGATGGAAAATCATGAATTCCAATAAAATGTAAATGGCTTGGATCTCCTCAATGTTGCAAACTCTTGCAGCAAAAAATGGCTTTAAACCTTTAACCCCTTAAGGACACATGACATGTGTGACATGTCATGATTCCCTTTTATTCAAGAAGTTTCGTCCTTAAGAGGTTAAAGTAGACACACAGACCGTTTTCAAAGCCTTTTTGCAGAAACTGAAGAATTGTCTTGACAGAGGGACAGCAATAAAAGCAATTATGCTGAACACACCAATGGAGAAATTTGTTCCAAATCCTCAAATTAACCTTGCAACAGCCAGGCCGTCAATCTGAACATGCAAATAGTTTTTTTCCGGAAGAACAAACATTTTCCAGGAGTTGATCTGAGAATAAAAAAAGTCTCAGTAGTCCAGTGCCATAAGTCTCAATGCCGAGAAATCGCTCTGGTTTGGCCAGTATGGGAGGACAGCAATCACTCGAGCTTGTTCTGCATTGATCTTCTGCAAAGATCTCAGGATCATTGAGATAGGAGGAAAAAGGTATGCTAGACTGAAACACCAGGGGATCGACATGCTGTCCAGAACCTGAGGGGTGTCCTGTCTGAACAGGGAAGCAAACTTCTGCACTTTTTTGTTCCATCTCCTTGTCGTTAGATCCATTACCGGAAGATTGAATTTTTTTTCCACTAATTCTGCGAAGACTTTGTTTGTGACCATTTGTTCCCGCAGAGGTAGTCTGCTACCACATTTTGTTCGTCTTTTATGTGAACCGCTGAAATAGATTCCAAGTGCCTCTGTGACCAAATCATAATCTCCCCACAAAGAACATGCAGGCCTCTGATTCTAGTACCTCCCTGACGGTTGATATATGCTACCGCCGTGCTGTTGTCCGACTGTATCTTTACTGCCTTGTTCAGAATCCAATGTTTAAAGTTTACTAGGGCATACCAGACTGCTTTGTGCTCTTTGCAATTAGAAAAAAGTTTTTTCTTTCTTCTGGATTCCAGTCGTCCAGATATGGGAGTAAAGAAACACCCATTTCCCTAAATCTTGCAGTTAAGATTTTGGTAAACATTCTTGGGGCTGATGCGAGCATGAAGGGAAGGACATTGAATTGGAAGTGATGGATACTGGAACCGGAGTGAGCCATAGGAACGTGAAGATAGGCGTCCTTTAGGTCTAAAGTTGCAATAAAATTCAGTTTGTTCAATAAGTGAGTGACAGAGTGAATCATGTCCATCTGGATTTTCTGGTATGGAATATACTTGTTGATATTCTTTAGGTCCTGTCAGACTGATCTGACTTTGGGACCAGGAAGAATCTGGAATATACCCCTTTTTCTTCCTGACGTCTTGGCACTCTTTCTGTCACACCCTTTTTTAACAGTGCCATTGCTTCTGACCAAAGAGCTTCCTTTTTCTTTTGAGATGGGTAAGAGGACAGAAGAAAACAAGGTTTCAGAGTTTCTGAGAATTTGATTTTGTAGCCCTTTCTTATGACTTTGGCGTCAGAACCTCTTATTTTTGTCTTGAAACTTGTAGTCTTTTGTTGGTCTTCGAAAATAAATAAATAAAATCTGTTCCTATCAAACTATCCAGATCTTCAAGGCTGTTAATGGAATCTAAAAATTTTGCGCATTTCTATTTTTCTCAGGTAAAGCTCTTTTCGTGTCAGACATTTGCTTAATCATTGCTTCTAGTTGAGAACCAAACAGTTTTCCACTTTGTAGAGGTAGTTCACATAAAGAAGTCTTTGATGCTGGATCAGTGGACCATGAACGCAGCCAAACAGCCCTTCTGGCTACTGAAGGAAGTCCCATTGAACATGTCGACAGTTTCAGGCCTTCCACTGATTCTGCATAAAATCACTAGCCAACCTTATATTATGTAAAAGTTGAGGAATTTCTTTTTCCAATCCTTCCTTCAGGCTGCTCTCAATTTCTTGAAGCCAAACTTTCTGTGCTCTCATGACAGATACTCCAAGGATGAATCTGACTGCCATTGTGGAGCCAAGAAGGAATTTTTTTCCTAGCTTGTTGCAAAATTGTGCTTCAAACTGGGTTTTTTTGCCTTTTTTTGGATCAACAGCAAAAAACAAATGTGAGGAAGGCTGAACTTGATAGACGCAAGTCTCTTTTCAGCTATGTAACTATGTAATACTCCCGCAATAGCAGCTTTACTTTGAAACCCTGCTGTTTGGAAGATTATTCTGCAGGACATTTCCACTCTTCTGTCCATTGGCCAAATACTTCATTGATGGGTAGTGTGGTCTTTTTGGACAGTTGCAACATTTGTGTATCTACCTTTGGTAGTTCTTCCCAACTTAACCCCTTAAGGACACATGACATATGTGACATGTCATGATTCCCTTTTATTCCAGAAGTTTGGTCCTTAAGGGGTTAAACCTTCTTGGAGTCTGATAAGCTGCTTAAAATGTTTGGAAATGAATGCCCTTTTCTCAGGATTTTTCCATTCTCTATGCACACATTCTAATAACTTCAGGTCTATCGGAAAACCCTTTATCTTCTTTTTTTGGCATCGTCCTCAGATAACACTGCCGATACCTCTAACATTTTCAGGTGTTCGACAGGAAAAAAACCTTCTTCCACACTAGATGCCTTGCTAGAATTTGATGAGCATGCAGTATCAGAGCATTCCCCATGATGATAATACGGACATTGAGGGAGATCTTTCTCACATTTCATTGAATGCTTCTCTTGAGAAGGAACATGCATTTTAGCAGATTCTTTAAAAGATTTAAATGTTTGGGAAAGTTTACCCTGGAAAGATTTCTCCAAATTTTCAGAAGTGCAGCTTTTGCACATTTTCTTTTTGCATCCATCAGGGAGTGGAGTAGCGCATTCAGAGTAGGAGTTTTGTTTTAAACATAGCCTTCTTGGGTGCAGGTGCCGACATTTTCTCCTTGTCTAATTCTTTAAGAGACAATGGGCTAGACATCTGCAATAAATAAAAAAAATTATGCCTTTAATGAAAAGATAAAACATCTCATACCTTAAAGACCTCTGAACCATGTGGGCGGGCTGGTGACACAGTATTCCTTCTCCAGACAACAAGCATGTTTGCACAGCTTTAATGGTCACCATTTTGTGAATTTGGCACCGAAATTTCAAGTTCTGAATTGTGCATGTAGCGCATTTGGAACGGTGGTGGAACGCAAGGCCACCCGGGCGTGCTTTCCACTGCTGTGCGCAAGCTCCGAGCTTGCAATTCCATTGGCAGACCACCTCTTACCCATTGCGGGTCTCCACACGGCATAAGAAGGCAGATTCTCCTGCTTGCTCTGTAACTAGGACGCAGAGTGTGGCACTCCGCTCACCTTCCAGGGAGCTATCGGCCCAATACCCACCAGACAGCAGCCTGTGCGCCTCAGACTTCCAAGAACAGTCAGCGTGTTCATCCTGAATGGGACAAGAAAGAATACTGACGTTCCTGGGGTCCGGGGTTTTAATGGGGAAGGAGGAGGGACTATTTAAATGTATTTATTGACGGTCTGCTCGAGGATACAAACAAGCTGGTTTAAAAAATAAATACAACAATTGTAAACACAGGTTTATAAAGAAAAAAATATACATTTTATTTTTATTATTATTTTTTTTTGGTTTAACATTGTATTAAAAAGGACCACTATAGTACCCTCAGGGTCCCCCTCCCGCCGGGCTGGATGGAGAGGAACGGGTTAAACTTACCCCTTTCTCCAGCGCCGGGCGGGGATCTCTCCTCCTCCTCCTCCTCCTCCTCCTCCTCCTCCATAGCGACGTCATTGGCTGAACGCCCATGCGCGGCAGGAGCCGCGCGCGTATTCGACAAGTCCATAGGAAAGCATTTTTAAGCCACTAGAGGCTGGATTAACCCTATTATAAACATAGCAGTTTCTCTGAAACTGCTATGTTTATAGAAAAAAGGATTAACCCTAGCTGGACCTGGCACCCAAACCACTTTATTAAGCTGAAGTGGTCTTGTACCTATAGTGGTCCTTTAACTATCCACAGACTTCAGGTGAAGGTGTTTTTCCCCACCATACCTTTTTTTGTTTTTTGCTTTGCAAGTACAGCCAAGCCTCACTAGCCAGCCAGCAGCCAACCTAATGCTGATGATTTGCATTAACAATGAAACAGCTGTCCATGAGTGGTTCACTGGCTTTGCATCTTTTCCAAAGTTGTATTTCAAAAGCTGTTGTATACAGCAAACACAGACTCAAAGGAATTCATGTTTAAAATGGAATGAGGCAAAAATGCGATTCTTTGTTAAACTAATTTGCATATGTCCACCCAGAATCCTTTGCAGGAGTAATATCACTGCAAATTTATTATTCCTGTGGGAAAAGCAAGTCTTATGGCTTGATTGGTGTGCAGATTTTTGTTTAACATTGTATTTACTATCCACAGACATTAAGGTGGAAGGGGTTTTCAATCACAATTTTTGACTATGGCAGTCTTGAGCACTGTGCATGGCACAAGTGTCGCAGGTTTCTGACCCCTTCCATATCTCATACTACATCCACCACACACATGCACACTGCATCATCAGCTCAAAATACATTCCTTACAAACACACACACTACATCACTAGCAAAAACACACGGTAAAAGAATCTGCTCTGCACTAGCACTCACAGTACAAAAACACAGACCTATCACCAATGCACCGACAAGTGCCCAAAGACACCTGAGCGTGCCAAAAGTTGGGGGTTGGTCTTGTGACTAACGTCTCAATTTGGCAGACTATTTCTTTGAATTGCGTATAGTGTTATCACTTGGTTGTTTGGCTTTTTTTTTTTTTGATAGATTATATATATATATATATATATATAGCATTGTATTGTAAAATAAAGCTGACTTTGCATTATTCTGGTTTTTCAGATTTACAAAATGACGTGTATCTTAAAAAAAATGCAAAAACAATTTTACCACAAACTGTAGAAAAAAAATGTAAGCACAATATATGTCATATGAGACACCCTGAAGTGTCTACTTTCTGAAATGGTAGGCCTTTGTAGAATAATATGAACAGTCAAACTGTTATAGAACTTTAAACAAACAAAACAGATTTGAACTGTAAAATTTTAAATGCTCAGGTTAATTATAGGTCATTGTAGCTTCACAGGATAGTGTCAGTTGTACTCCTTGATCTCAAAAGATGAACCAATTTGATGAAGCTGAATATAATTGGGGATTTTTTTTTACAGGAGTAGAAACATCAGGAATTCCTATCACCGGATGCCAGGGACTTGGAGATATTTGGAGCTTTAAAGGACCACTCTAGGCACCCAGACCACTTCAGCTTAATGAAGTGGTCTGGGTGCCAGGTCCTTCTAGGGTTAACCCATTTTTTAATAAACATAGCAGTTTCAGAGAAACTGCTATGTTTATTAATGGGTTAAGCCTTCCCTCTAATCCTCTAGTGGCTGTCTCTGACAGCCACTAGAGGCGTTTGTGTGCTTCTCACTGTGATTTTCACAGTGAGAGCACGCCAGCGTCCATAGGAAAGCATTCTAAATGCTTTCCTATGCGACGGGCTGAATGCGCGCGCATATTCAGCCCAGGAGGAGGATCGGGGGAGGAGAGCTCTCCGCCCAGAGCTGGAAAAAGGTAAGTTTTTAACCCTTTCCCCCTTCCAGAGCCGGGCGGGAGGGGGACCCTGAGGGTGGGGGCACCCTCAGGGCACTATAGTGCCAGGAAAACGAGTATGTTTTCCTGGCACTATAGTGGTCCTTTAAGTCCTGCCACAGGAGCTAGTGCTGTGATCTCTCCCATGCATTCCAGCACTCATCAAGTCAGAGCACAGGCTGGGAATCCTGTCAGCTCTGACTCACTGAGTGCCTGGCCACGAAGGATCGATTACTGTGGTGCAGACCACACTCCAGGAATGGATCCAGATGGGTGCACCAGGGAAAGTGCACCCCCTAAGCAGCCAGAGAGAGAAACCAATAAAGGGTGTCTGTAAATTAACTTTCAATTATTGATGGCTATCAAGAATGAGTGTCAAACAGTACTTAATTTTTAGATACCGGCTAGGACAATTACAGGAAAGAGGGATGAGTTATAATAATCCAGTGTGTCCTTATGTACTACCAGCTTCCTGTCCTTATAGGTGAAACCCTCCATGTTGCCGAGCTGTGACTATAGAGGTGAGAGTCTCTGATTTCATGTGGTAATTTAAAGTCACAATTTGGGGTTTAAAACTCTCTCTCTCTCTGGCTTTGCACCCCTCCTTGTCACAAGTGCCTTTTTCCAGGGCACTATTTTACCTTGCCCTGCAGAGTCCCAGGAGGAAGCATTTCCACAATAAATGGATTAATCTCATAAAATCAGGCATTAGGTTGCTAGGATAGGACCTGCTAAGACTAAGAATGGGGTACACTGATGTTGCAGCAGGCTTGTGGGGGCTTATGCAATGTATGATTATATACTGTAACTAAACCTGCATTATTTTTGCCTAGGTTATTTGTATTCCTTAAACTATAGGATCCCTTAACATACCTTTTTGTAGCTAAACAAATAAAAAAAAAAAAAATAAAAAAAAAAGAAAACCAGTATTTAGAATGTTTTGGTTCAATAAATAAGAAAGATGGTAATTGTGGTTAAACACACACGGCAAAAATGTCCAAGTTGCTTGCGTCCTTAAAGGAACACCATAGGCTCAATTAAGTTATCTGGGTGCTATGTCCCTGTTGTTTTAACCCAGATGTGAAAACATTGCAGAAATGGCAACTGGTTTAAATGACTCTAGTGCTGAAATAGAGTAAAACGTTTCTATTTCAATTAGATGGCTTCATAGAGATCGGTTAGGCGCACCACAGTGTTTTGCTGTGCATATGCACTAGCCTCCCAATGTTTCCACATGTGAAAACATTGGATTGGCTGACACCATCAATCTTGATAATCTCCGCTAAGGTGGAAGGCCAACAGGACAAAGTGCTGGAAGGCAAGCACATCTAACCTTGAAAGCCCTCAAATCTAACAATCAAATGAATAAATAATAAAACAATAGTTAGTCTGTTAGGATTGATATTTTATTTTATGAAAGTCAAATAAAACTTTTTGCAGGAAAAAAAATGCTAAAGATTACCTTCTGGTGCCTCATCTCGCAGATAAGATGGGACCTCTTCTTCAGTTTTGTCGGTCTGATTCATTATTCCTAAAAATAAATAAATAAATAATAAAAAATAAAAAAAAGACAAGCACACAAGAGATTCATTTTCAATGTAATATTAAAATTATGAATGCAGGGTAAATTAAAGAAGGGGAAAATATGAAAGCTAACAATTGCAAGCAGCAAAACACATGTAATTACACAGCAATACAGAAGCTATAATCCCTCAGGAGACAAAGAACAGATCCTATCATCAACTGCTGTATGGCCTGTAAAAAAAGCAACACCGTCATAGACCATTTAAAGAAGCCTTCGCCAAGTAAATAACAGCTGCAAATAGTATTTAAAATGTTCACATTTTCCATTGTACAAATTTATATAGCCACGTAAAACACATGATGAGGACAAGATCAGTTGATAAATCATGAGCAAATTGGCACTTTCCTTGCATTGCTTGCGGACATCACCGGGGTGCTGGGTATATGTTGGCAGACATACACATACCTGCCAAAACTAGGACAGTGGAGGGGTGGAATGTTCTAAGAATACAATGCAGAATTGCTTTCAAATGGGCCGATACACTGCATTATCTGAGGATTGTCACTGGTGTCCTTCATAGCAAGGTAATGGTACAATAGTAGATAAGCTATAAATGAAGTCACCACCACCACACATTTAAACCAAAATAGTGACTTCATGGCAAATCAAACTATTTCATACTATTACCTATAATGTGTAAATGGATTTTGCCTACTACATTTTAGCCAATGTAACTCACATGACAAGTAATCTTTAAACATACATTATTAAAGAAAACTTTCTCACAGTGTCTTCCGCACAGCTCATTTTAAAGATCAGTATATAAATGTAAAACTAAAACAAGATAATTGAGGAGGGTTATTCACTAAAATGTAGAAGCTGCAAATGTTAAGCCCAAATAGCCAAGACTATTTAGCATTTTTGGCCTAAAATTTGCAATTCCTCACAGTTTAGTTTAGAACCGTAATGTGAATTTACACAGCAAACACTGCATTGTCCATTTTGCAATGGTAATAAGAATGCATTTATGATTAAAATATAAATAAAGGGAATATGGCTAAAGGCATATTGGCATAAAACTACCACTCATGTGAAAAGAAACACAAATAAACAGATCCCACCAAAACTGACATCCAAATGTATATGTGCCTTAAACTAAATAGAACCAGGAGATAGATAGATAGAGAGATAGAGTTCTCTCACAGAAGTTGTATGTCACAGAAGCTTCAAGATGGCTGCTGTCCCCGGCAAATACTTTCAACATAGTAAATATTGGTATGTAGAGGGTTAATCAGCAGTTATCAGCACTTTTCCCTCCCCCTGGCAACGTTTGCAAGCATGAAAGATGTACTGAAAGATATTGTAATGTTTGACCTCTTGCTCATCCAAGGAAAAAAAAAATCCATCTAAAAAGTCACAAGAGGAAACCAGATTAAGATATGGTAAAATGTTCAGAACAGGTACAAAGAGCAATCGAAATTTCCACCTGTATTTTTCAGTTTAGACACATCAGCTTTCTGATAAAAAAAACCAAACAGTACCATTGAAAAACAGCAGATGTTAAACATCATATCAATTAAAAACAAAAAAACAAGAAAAATAATAGGACTACACGTAAGAATAACAAGGGCGAGCTATTTATAAGCCAGTGTTGGTGTACATCCACCGAGTTGTGCATAAATTGCAGAGAAAGTTTGGAACCTTTACTAGTTTTAAGAGAATATTTGCTCAATCCATAGAGTGAGCATTTGTTTAAACTGCTAATTTACGGAGATTTGCATAACTCCTCTGCAGAATTTATATATTTGCTTGTAATCTGGCAGCATTTTTTTTTTTTAAATCAGATTTTAACTCTCTCAAAAAAGTGCCGTGCAGATGATTAATACTCTTTAATCAACGGATGACTGCATACGCGTTTCCAAGAAGTTTAATAGTGTGTACTTTCATAAGATATGTTTTTTGTGTCTGATGAGAGAGAGAATAAAAATATGGGCTGAACAAAAGGTCTGTAACAGGGAGGGAGGAGACCTGGTTGTTCTCAAGCATAGGGGAGGCTTTCTTCAATCCAGTGACGTGGCAAAGGCTTAACCTGATCCTCTTCTCAAAATTCTGCCACGCTTTACTTCAACCCTAAAAACATCATCCCTGGGAAGAAGGATGAATACAATGTTGCAACGTAATCCAAATATAAATCCCTGCACAAGCAAGTAGATTGCAAGCCTCGTCCAAGTCGATTAAACAGATAGAAAAAAAAGAGCATGTTTTAACAGTGCATGGAGTTTTTAATACTGAAAACAGCGCACACAGGTGAAGATGGGGAGTACATAACCCCAGGGTTAACTAGTTAGTTGCTACAACAGTCACACAATATCCCATGTGTACAGTTTACTTGTGCCACAGAGAAGTAAAATGACGCTGGGAATGAAGCCAAAAAAGGGGCCCATTTCCTAACTTTCCTAGGAGCTTTAAAATCCATCTCCAGTGATAAACTCAGTTGGCTCCCCACAACAAAACCACCTTGTACAAACTGAAGTATTACTCATTCTGAAAAACAACACCCCATCAATAAAGAGAACCTTACTAACCAACTAATGCAGAGAGTTAAAGGGAACTGATGATAATTCTTAAATACATATCCTGATTTATGCCAATAGCCAGTTCAACTACCAGGGTGCATTTTTCACCTCTTGCACCTTTAATTACAATATATACTAAATATAATAATATATAAAAACACAGTTGATGCAATCTGTGATATCTAAATGTTGTAGAATACAATACACACACACTATAGCCCCTATCTCTGCTCCCCTGGCTGTAATGACCCCCATACACACAGCCAGGTTACCCAGACCCCCCCGCCGACACCCACCGGCTGCAGGTACCCCCAGGCTCCAGTCGCTGCACTACGATCCGCACAGGGATCCCTCACACTGCCAGTCGCTGCACTAGGCTGGTCACAGAGCTCCGTCGCTGGCTGGCTCCCTGGCTGTAGGCTCTCTAGCACTGTCCGGCCGCTGCAGACGTGGCGCCTGACGCATCCTCCAGCACAGCCAATGGGGAGCCTGCGAGCGGACAGCCAATGAGATCCCAGCTCCGCCTGTGACGTGGAGGTGCCCAGATGTTCTGGAAGCACCGTTAGGTGTGTGGCTTGTGGTGCTCTCTGCCTGACTGATGGCACAGGGCTGGGTGTAACCTCTGCCACCACGGGCCAGGCTGGGCACCGGCACCCCCATCCTGCCCAACAGTCAGCACAGCTGTCAGCATAGAGTGGGTCATGGTCCTTAGGTGATAGATAGGCAGCCATTAATCCCATCACACCCAGCCAGTGTGAGAATGGTGGTGCGCAATGGGTGGCAGGGATACGGCTCGGGGTCAGAGCTGGTAGTAAACTCTGGCTGGAGGTTTGCAGTTCTTTCTGGGTCTGTGAGTGGCTGGGGATGTTGGGAGTTACAGCAGGTGCAGTGTCAGGGTGGGACAGTGTGGTCACTTTGATAGATAGTGTGAAAAATTCTATAACATGGGTTGAGATTTGAGGGTAGGCAGGGCTGCCAACAGAAATTTTGGGGCCCCTGACACAGCTCAAGGTCCTGGCCCCCCCTGCACCGAGTCCACCCAAAGCGCTGCCCCCCCCAGTCCGCCCATAGGGATGCAGTGTCTGTACTGATTGTGGCGTGTGTGTGTGTGTATTAGATGCAGAGTGTGTGTTTGTGTAGTGTGTGTTTATAGTGAATGCAGAGTGTGTGTTTGTGTAGTGGATGTAGTGTTTCTGTGTATTAAATGCGATGTGTATAGTGGATGTAGTGTTTAGTGAATACAGTGTGTGTATAGTGAATGCAGAGTGTGTGTTTGTGTAAGTATTTAATGTGTGTATAGTGACTGCAGACTGTGTGTTTGTGTAGTGGATGTAGTGTGTGTAGTGACTACAAAGTGTGTGTGTGTGTGTTTGTGTAAGTACTGCAGAGTGTGTGTTTGTGTTAGGAAGTAGTCACTGCAGAGTGTGTTTGTGTAAGGATGTAGTGTGTGTAGTGACTGCAGAGTGTGTGTTTGTGTAGTGACTCCAGAGTGTGTGTTTGTTTAAGGATGTAGTGTGTGTAGTGACTGCAGAGTGTATGTTTGTGTAAGGATGTAGAGTGTGTACATTTTAGTGAATATTGTGTGTATATGTTAGTGTATAGTTTGTATAAATGTTAGGGAATAGTGTGTGTAAATGTTAGTGTATAGTGTGTGTAAATGTTAGTGAATAGTGTGTGTAAATGTTAGTAAATAGTGTGTGTAAATGTGTTAGTGAATAGTGTGTGTAAATGTTAGTGTACAGTGTGTGTAAATGTTAGTGAATAGTGTGTGTAAATGTTAGTGTATAGTGTGTAAATGTTAGTAAATAGTGTGTGTAAATGTTAGTGTATAGTGTGTGTAAATGTATGGGGCTGCAAAATGTGGGGGGGAAAGCCTACAGTTTTTTTTTTCCATTCATTAATTGTATTGTTTTATTCCTCCCTCCCTGTATCTCACCTGTGGCCATGGAGGGGGGAGATCACATTGGCTGGAGCCCTGAAACCGGAGGTCCTGAGGAATGGTGCAGCCCCCGCTACCTGTATTCTGCAGGGGGCCCAGCACACTTGAAATCTACTGCCCAGATGCTCTGCTCTTTCGAAGTCTCGTGAGCCGTGCGGAGCGTTGCCATGGCAACGCTCTGACGATCGCGTCACTCGCGAGACTTCGACAGAGAAGAGCATCTGGGCAGTATATTTCAAGTGTGCTGGGCCCCCTGCAGAATACAGGTAGCGGGGGGCCCGCAGCACACACATATATAGCATTAATCGCTATATATGTGTGCACATAGCTAATGTGGGCAGTGGCGTACACACAACCCATGGGGACCCGTGTGCGAAAACTGATCCGCGCGCTGGGGCCGCAACACATGGCGGCGGGCACCTGGTCGCAGGGGTCGCAGGGCTGCGACCCCTGGGACTGCGGTATGTACGCCAGTGCATGCAGATACACTTAAAGGACCACTACAAACACCCAGATCACATCAGCTCAATGAAGTGGTCTGGGTGCCAGGTCCCTCTAGTTTTAACCCTGCAGCTGAAAACATAGCAGTTTCAGAGAAACTGCTATGTTTCACTGAGGGTTAATCCATCCTCTAGTGACTGTCTCATTGACAGCCACTAGAGAAGCTTCCGCGATTCTCACTGTGAAAATCACAGTGAGAAGACGCTGAACGTCCATAGGAAAGCATTGAGTAATGCTTTCCTATGGGCGGTTTGAATGCGCGCGCAGCTCTTGCCACGTATACGCATTCAGAGCTGAGAGGCGGATCAGGACGAACAGATCCCCAGCGCCAAGGGAGTCCGGCGCTGGAGAAAGGTAAGTGCTAAAGACACACACACACACTCTCACAAACAGACGCATACACACTAGCTACAAGACACATTTACTGACAGACACACACTCAGTGACAGACATACACACACTCACTCACAAAACACACACTCACTAACAGACGCACACAAACTAACACACTCAGTAACAGACACACACAGTAACACTCTTACTGACACACTCTAAAACACACACACACTCTCTAACACACACACTCTAACACACACATTTTATTTTTTTTAAATTTAATCCCCCCCAGCCTCCTCACCTGTGGGAGAGCTAAGGGGACTCCCTTGGGTCCAGTGGTGTCACCCGGCGGTGTCTTCCGGCTCCGGCATCAGTGCGGTGCACGAGGGAGCTGAAGAGGAAGCACTCAGGGGAGAGTGCTCCCTCACACGCCCGCCGGCCGGGTGACACCAGGGCCAGCCTCGGGGGGGCCCTGAGGTGACTGGCTGCTGGGTCCCCCAGAAGAAGAGGCTGGCCACAGTGGGTACATACCAGGTCGCAGGTCGGCCAGGCGCCCTCCGACCCCGGTATGTACGCCACTGAATTTGGGGCCCGGGACGACCTAAGCAGTCCGGGCCCCCCAGGATCGCCGGGCCGATGACAACTGTTATGGTTGTCATGCCCTGATGGTGGCCCTGAGGGTAGGCAAGTGTTTATGGTTAGAGTAAAGTTAGACTTTGAGATGTATGGTATAGATTTTGCCATTCCTTCCCTTCTACAATTCATAATTCACAGCTACCACAATATTTTAGACCAGTGATGGAGAATTTATGGCCCATGTGCATATCTCCGAAGTGTCCCTTCCTCTCTTCCTGCTTGCTATCTGAATGTGACTTTATTTTAGGAGCTCCGTTTTGTTGGTGTGTCTGAGTTTATAACAGAGCTCCACAGCGAGAATAGTCACAGTAGTGTGTCTTTAAACTACAATAAATGTGTTTAGAATTGTAGCGGAACACCTGATAACCCGACTGATTACCTCCGCACTTTCTCTTCCTTCAGCTGAACAGGAACCATTTGGGATATAAAGGGACCCATCCCCCCCCCCCCTGTAACTGGTCAACACACAGTTCTGGAGGTACAACAAACCTTATTGGCCACACACGGCTTTTAAGCATAAGCTCATGCAAGGGGTGTAACACACAGCATATAATGCCCCCTCCCAGAGCCCCCCCCCCCCACTCTGGGAACCTAATGCGGAAAAGGGCTTTGTATCTTTGTCTCCAAAATCCCACCATCCAAACACAGGGTTTCCCACATCCAGGTTCAGGGGGATCTTCACCCCATGAGCCTCTTTACCTGGGGGACCAAGCGCGGGAAAAAAAGGTTCCTTTGTCTCCCAGGCACAGAGAGCCTGCCCATGGGAAAAGAGCTGGTCTCTTCATCCCAGCGGGCACCGCAAAGCCCACAAAACTCGCCAGCGCCACAGAAGTGTCCACACAAACCTCAGGGACTCTCACAATGGCCCCTGTCACGAACTGCCTCCGTTCGCAGGGTCCCTGTGTGGGAACCAGACAAGGGAAGCATCTCCTTTCGGGATACGAATGCTCCCCCTGGGTGACGTTTGCCTATACGAAATGGCGGCCACCCAGGGTAGCATTCATTAATTACTTCCCTTGCGGTTTTCACACTTATGTTGCGAGTGCGAACGTTCTAATTGATTGGTGCGAACAGTCAAATGAGGCACTAGGGGGGTCCTCGTTCGGGAAATAAACAAGTCGGGAAACAACCCATGAACGCTTGCGTGGCTGGTGTTCATCTGTACGAATGGCAGCCAGCCGGAGGAGTGCTCATTAATTACTTCCCTTGCGGTTTCACACTTATGTTGCGAGTGTGAACGTTCTAATTGATTGGCGCGAACAGTCTAATGGGGCACTAGAGAGGGCCTTGTTCGGGAAATGAACAAGTTGGGAAACAACCCACAATCGCTCCCCCTGGTTGGCGTTCGACTGTACAAATGGCCGCCAGCTGGAGGAGTGCTAATTGCTTCCCTTGCGGATTGACACTATGTGGCGAGGTGTGAAGGTTCTAAGCCAACATTCTAAATGGGGTATCGGGCCGGCCATGTGTGAGCTGTGTCGGCCACTGCTCCACGGCTCCATGTGCGGCCGCACAGCTCTCACACCCTGTAGCTGTTGGAACTGGGCAGTCCTGAAAATTGCATGTGTATAACTGTATTTGGGTAAATTACTGGTTTTTATGTGTCCAAATAACGTGTATTCGTCTGATTGTTCGGTAGATTCAAATAAACTAAGGGAATGAAACTACCGAACAGTCAGACCTGCCCTGTGTGAAGTGTGCCTTCAATTACCCATTGCAACAATGTTGCGAATGGGTAATTAACAAGCTATGCAGTAGGTCCTTTGTTCTCGGGGTGGCCACCATTCGGGAAACGAACACGTGGCGGCGGACATTTTAAAACTCCCGAACAGCGGTGTTTTGCTGTTGAGTGTCTGGAACCCAAATCGGACACTCGACTAGGCGAACACCGCTGAGACCTCCAAAAGCCCAGTCCGTTCGGTTCCAAACTATCGAACGGCCCCTCGTTCGGTAGACAGAAACAACCGAACGAGGGGATTCATGCGAACCCTACCTGATCGCTGTAGCCTTAGCTTTTCGTGCCATTTATTCCCTTATACTGTGACCGACCGCAGGGCCCCA